GAATACTCTGTTTCAATTAGATCACTTATTCTTATAAATTTCAGTGAGCATGGATTCGTTATCTCAGCCTCTCATCATTGTGCAATCCTCTCGTCTCAGGAGCCAATCTAGTGATCTTTCTGTTGCCATAACCTATTGAGGTGTGTTTTCTTCATCTGTCTGAGAAGTCAAATGGAAGAGTGGACAATCTATCCCCTTTCCAGCATCTACACATTGATCTCAGGATTTATCATGCACTCTCATGTCTCGAAGTCCCATATTCTTCACATGCATGGGGACTAACTTTCACAGTAGTATGAAGTAAAAGATACTGAGGAAATAACCTATTTGTAATTTTTCTCGAGTAAATGCATTAAATTACTAATGATCAAGAGTTTTTGCAAACTGTGAAAGTGGATTCTCATTTTGCTTTTAAAATCTCCCCAGTCCCACTGGCAATCATACTGCTTTCAGAATATTGTTTTTTAAAAAAAAACTTTCAAGGTTAGATCAGTTGGTATTGCAGCATAGATACAAATGATGCTGAATCTCAAAGGAAATGTGCTATTAGCCAAGCTGTAAATGGTTATTAATATTTCAATAAATCCCAGTCTAAATTAACTAGAACAAAGTACAATACTGTAAAAGTCAGAAAATTCTTTTAACCACTTTTTACGCTCCACATTATGCAGATGTAACTTGAATTATACCTTGCACATTTAGTATCCATTCATGACATCTACCATATAATCTTTGGAACAATGTCATTGACCCCAGCAGGGATTGGTGTCTAATTTTGAGTACAATCAGTACGTAGCACAATGGAACAGTCAGTAACTGAGCACACCTGACTCCGGGAGTCATGTAAACTTGTGAATTGTTGGCTTCACCTGATATTTATTTTGTGCTGTACACTAAGTGCCTCTTTTTAAAGTGAGTCATCACTTCTTCCAAATTGAAATATTTTGCCATATAAGCACAATATGATAATTAATACTCCATCAGCCTACTCTCGATAATCAGTAAAGTGATAGAAGCTGTCATCAACAGTGCTCTCAAGCAGCACCTGCTCATCAATAAGCAGCTTCATAGGTGCCCATTTCGGGTTCTGCCACAGTCACTCTGCTGCTGACCTCATCACATTCTTAGTTTAAATGTGGTCAAAAGAGCTGAATTCCGGAGGTAAAGTAAGAATGATATCAAAGCCGCATTTGATCAGATGTGGCAGTCTATGCCAGTTATACCTGGCACATAGGATGGTTGGGGTTGCTGAAAGTCAGTCATCTCAGCTTGGGGACATCGCTGCAAGAGTTCCTTGGAGTAGTGTCCTCAGCCCAAACATCTTCAGCTGCTTCATCAATGACCTTCCGGCCATTATAATGTCAGAAGTGGGGGTGTTTGCCAATGATTGCACAATCTTCAGCACCATTCACAATTCTTCAGGTATGGAAGTAGTCCATGTCCAAATGCAGCTCGACCTAAACATTATTTAGGCTTGTACTGAGAAGTGGCAAGTAACATTCACGCCACAAAAATGCAAAGCATTGACTACCACCACCAATAAGAAGCAATCCGACCACGGTGCCTTGGCATTCAGTGGAATTGCCATCATTGAATGACCCACTGTCAACATGCTGGAGATGACCATGCATCAGAACTTGACTGGACTAACCATTTAAATACAGTGGCTACAGGAGCAGGTCAGAGGCTAGAAATCCTGCAGCAAGTAACTCACTTCCTCACTCCTCAAAGCCTGGCCACCAGCTACAAGACACAGGAGTGTGATAGAATACTCCCCGCTTGCCTGGATGGGTGCAACCCAACAATGCTGAAAAAGTTGGACACCATTCAGGACAAGTTATACTTCACAATTAATGCCTCTTTCAGCCAGATTCAACAGTTTCTGAAGCCTGGCTGTGTTTTAAAATGATTTTTGAGAAGTTACTAATTCGAGAATAAAGCAAGCAAGTAAGCAAAATTGTAATTAAGATATTAAGAATGCTTTGCTTTGTTTAATCACAACATCCGTAAGCCATTTGGACCCTTAAGGAAATATGCAAACATAATTAACTGCTGAGTTGCTTCAATTAAACAGAATCAATGTTCACACTGTAACTACTCCAAAGCTAAAAAGATATTTTTGTGATTGTCTTGTCTTTAAAGCAAAGATTTTTCAGAAGCAGGTATTGTTTGTAATAACTTCACCCACATTATGTGGCCATCATCCTGATAATTTAAACCTTGTAGAGCTTTTAAGAATTGTGTGCCTCACCAGAGTACCTAGCCTACTTTACCCAATGATAATGTCATTGTATGGAAAGGATGATGGTTAGATTCTCTTGTTCTTGATGGCAATTGGCACTTGTTTAGTGGCAGATGTTGCCACTTGATATCCCAAGCATGGACATTGTCCAGGCCTTGCTGCATTTGGACACTTGATTTCTTTGGTATCTGAGGAGTCATGAATGGTATGAGTGAACATCCTCATTTGTGACTTTCACATCACTCTCCCCTCACCTCTGGTGTTAATCAAGGCTGTAGGAGGTCAGGAACATGTGGCCCTGGCAGAACCCAAACTGTCAGTGAGCAAATTATTGCAAAGCAAGTGCTGCTTGATAGCACTGTTCATGATCCCTTCCATCACTTTACTGATGATCAAAAATACACTGATAAGGCAGTAATTGGCTGGGTTGGATTTGTCCTACTCTTGTTTATGGGCCATAACTGGGCAATTTTCCACACAATTGGGTAGAGGCCTGTGTTGTAGCAATACAGGAACAGCTTGGCTAGGGACACAAGTTCCTGGGTACCGTTACCAGAATGCTGTCAGGGCCCATTGCTTTTGCAATATCCAGTGCTTTCAGCTATTTATTTATATCACTTGGAGTGAATTGAGTTGACTGAAGTGTGTAATATTTTGTGATCAGAGTTGGAAATAGCATTCCCAATACTGATTAGAAGATCTGGGCCAATGCTTCCTGTCCCATGATAGTTGGGTAATTTTTTAGACACTTATTCAGTATTCAAGAATTGTTGGCAGGCCTGAGGCCATCTCCATTTAAATTACATAGAAGAAGCAAACTGTCAAACCTGAATTTCTTAGATATTTATTTTGATCATTGAAATTGATTTTAAAGCTAACCTGGAGGGATGGCTAATTCGCTACAATCATTTAATCACCTTGTTTTATCACTCATTTGATATGTTCGTTCCTCCTTTACACTACCTTGCTTTATCCGTATACACACTTCGTCTTTCTCCCTCTCCCTGTTTCTCTTTCTTTTTGTCTCCCCAGATGGTTTACATTTTTGCATCATTTTTAATTGCCAGAATAGACTGTTGTGCAATCTCACTGAATTAATTTTGAATGCCCAGTGATATAATAGAATTTTGCAGCGTAGAATTAGGCTTTGTTTGCTGTGCCTGTGCCAGTTCTCAAAGTGCAATGCACATTGTTTCTTGCACTGTAAGCTTTTAAATATTTTTTTGTTTTGGCTGTTTAACCACTTCGCTTTTAAAAGCAGTTATGGATTTTGCTTCCAGTGGTTTCTCTGCTAGAACATTCTGGGCCACAGCAGCCCTTTTGTGAAAGAAAACTAGTGTTATCACTTTCCTTTTGTTAAAAGGGATGATTTTAAATATATACCGACTTGTTACTGATTCATAGACCAAAGGAAACATAATCCATTACTTGTCAGTCAAAATATTTTGCAATGTTATCTTTCTTAATATGTGCTACCCAAAATCAGCCAAATAAAAAGTTAATTTTAGGAGACTGTTGAGTTGAGTTTTATGTTTGAGCATATTCTAGAGCTAAAAGTTTTATTATGCACCTTTATGCAAAAATCCATAAAAGCATTGATATTTCTGTTTATCCAAGCATTCAGGAATTTTGCCATTGAAAAGTTAGAGTAGCTAGATTTCTGTTTGAGCACGTTGTTTTTTATTTACTGAATTCAAGGAGGAGACAGTGGTGTTGTGGTAATTTCAGCAGATTAGTAACACAGCATCCCATTTCAGAGTCATGGCTTTAAACCATGACAACCGCTGATTAAATCTGAATTCTATTAAAATGCTGAAATTGAAAGCTAGTTTTATTATTGATGACCATGAAACTGTCATCAATTATCATAAAAACATTTCTGGTTCACTAATGTCTGAGGGAAGGAAATCTCTTATCCTTACCTGGTCTAGCCTAGATGGCCCACAGTAATGTGATCAACTCTTAACTGCCTCTGACGTTGCTCTCACTGAGGTGCATTCAGGAATAGGCAACAATGTCTGTTCCCGTCCCTGTGGTGCCCACATCCAATGAAAGGATAAATTCAAATAAATTTAATCTTTTAAAAAAAAAAATGAAGTGGGCTTTCCCAATGCTTTAATCAATACACAGTGAGCAAGACCAGGTGCCAGATTTAAATCATAGCATATGCAGATTTAGCAGTTCTCACCTTAGCACTGGTGTTTGACTACACTTATCCCCTTGCTTCTTGAGTAAAGTTTGAGTTTTAAGTTTCTTTGATTTTATTGTTGTCACGTGTACCAAGATACAGTGAAAAGTGTTGTATGTGCTATACAAGGTGAAAATCAACTGTAGTTGCTACTTTTTATTGTAATGCAGGGCTTGTTTTGACTATTGTCATGGGTTTGCTAGTGATGAAACCTACAGTCACACAAACACTTACTGTCTACACCCATAAATGAAAAATGCCCATTTGGTTGAGGCGCTTAAAGATAGTCATGTTCTATCAAGGAGCCAATTCCTTCAGAAGATAGGGACAGTTTTTTTAAAAAAAAAAAATGCAGGAAAAGGGGAATTACATTATTTTTAATATCATACAAAATGTACTGTATTACCAACTATTTTACAACCGGCATTTTTTAAACCTACATTGCTCACTCATACATTAGCTGGAATTGAGCTCTCTTAACATAGTTCAACAACCTTTCATATAAATGTGCTGAACTAGATATTTATCTACCCTCATCAGTATGCCAGATTTTTCATTTTTGCTTTCCAGTGAAATTATTTGAAGTTATTGAAACAGAGAAGACTCTCTATTTAGTGATAGAATATGCAAGTGGAGGTAAGTGGAATTCATCTGAAAGTAATATTGATAAATTTTTTTGTTGTGATAATGATCTGGAATTTTTCTGGATCTCGTAAGGAAGAATATTTGTTTTCATAGTGTTTTATTATGCCAGACCTTTTCAATAGGTACTGTACCCTGAGTTGGAATGTATTAATTATTCTGTTAGCAACCTGGTGCAACTTCCTATAAACAGTGATGAGATAAATAAATGGTTGATCTGTTTTCTGATAGTGAATGCTGGAAGCATTCAGCAGGTGTGACAGCATCTAACTGCTTCTTTCTCTGTAATGCTTCAGGTCTGAGGCTTTTCATATGAACTGAGAAAAGATAGAAATGATTGAGCAAACATATAAGTTGGACTGGAAAGAAGAACAAAAAGTAATAATCCCAGCTGATGCTATTCCTGGACAAGTCAGATCTCTAGATTGAAATCTGGCTTGATGGATCACGTTTTGTTATTTTTTGGTTTTAACGAGTGGCCTTTGACTGAAGCACAATATGCAATGCTACAGATTTGGTTTTAACAACAAAGCAGTTGTTTATTGCACAAGAAATGAAGAATGACATTGCATAAATCAAACTATTTACATGTAACACAAGTTTTTAAAAATTTCAAAATGAATGGTAAAGTACAACCTCATTGATCCCAATAGAAATCCTTTCCAGTGCTGTATCCTTTCCCTATCACATCTAAAGGGTTTAACTTAACAGAACAAATGTTTCAAATCTTGGTCCTGTGAAACTGAGCCTCTTCCTTGAGTCTTTATGCAATTGATGTAAGACTTTCTCACTTTCAAATAATCCTTCAAGATTTTAACGAAACACTTCTTGTCTGGAACTTTCAAACTAAACTGCTTCCCTTGAGGAAATCTAGTTTTAAGCGTTCTGTTTTCATTGGGCACAACTCTTTCATACATTCTCCTCTCAGCCAAGACGTTTGCAAATCTGAAACAAAAAGGTGGAATGGATATTTCTCCAGAGCCAAAAAAATCCGGAATCTCCTACCTGAAGCCTATTGTACAACTGTTTGTGATTTTTTGCTTATAGAGCTCACCCAGTGAAAGCAAAGCCTTATATTCCAGAAGTGTCTCTCTCATACTGTGTTTTGAAAGAAATCACATTGGCCGTTGAAATACCTGCAAGTTAACCATTCAAGACCAAACACACATGCCATTAGTGAAGAGAGACTAAACTACTTTCTATCCCTGCATCTGAGTCATGGAGATAGGTTGGAATTAGTTAGGGCCTGAGGACCAAACCCTTTAGGACCCCATTAGTTACATATTGCCAAGCAGAAAAAGACTCATTTATCCTGACTCTCTACTTTCTGGTGGCTAGCCAATTCTCTATCCAAGCTGATAAATTACTTCTAACCCCATATGATCTTACATTGTGCATTAAAGTTTTGTGCAACAAGTTTACCAAATGCCATCTGGAAGTCCCTATGTATTACATTTACGGGATCCCCATTATCCACCTTGTTTGTTAAATCTTTGAAGAACTCTTAGCAACTTAAACATGAGGTCCTTCATAAAGCCATGCTGACTCTGACAAATTACGTTTTGACTTTCCAAATGTCCTGTTATTTCCCGAATAACGGACACTCTCAATTTCCCAACAACATATTACAGCTTGTCTATAGCCACCTACCTGGTCGCTAGTTTCCTACTTTCTGCCTCCTTCCCTTTTCGAATAAGTGAGTTTTATATTAGCATTTTTCTAATCCACTGGAACCTTCCCCACATCCAGGGAAGTTTTGAACATTATTGCCAATGAATGCACCATCTCTGCTGCCACTTCCTTTAAGATCCCAGGATGTAGATCTTAGACCCTGGGGACTTGTCTGCTTTCAATCCCAATAGTTGGCTCAGTACCTTTTCCTTAGTGGTGGTGATTGTTCTAAGTACCTCTCTTTTTATAACCTCTGCATTACCTGTCACTATTGGGGCGGTGTTAGTGTACTCCACATGGAAACCAAAAAAAAGTGTCCCTAATTTCCTTTTGAAAGTGATGGTAGTAGAGTGTTGTTTTGAGCCACTTTAGTCTGTTTGATGAAGAAACGGTAGATTGAGCCCAATCTGGATGGTGTTTCTTGAAGTGGTACTTTGAAATAGTGATCTCATGCACCTGCTACCCTTGTCCTTCAAGTTGTTAAGTTATGAATATACAGCTCCGTAAATAATCTGTTTCTGACATTTGAGTAACGCTGAAGTAACAAGTGATTTTCAATCCCGCGGTGCTGAGCTGAAATTTAATAAATACAACTCAATATGCACAAAATTCTCCAACGATGATGTTCTGTGTTAAAATATATTATAGACTGAACTTTATGCCCTCCCCTGTCTTGGATTTATTGGTGCGGGGCATTCAATCAGACGAAAATGTTGCTGGTAGGCACCCATACACGTACCTGCTTCCACCTGATGGACAGCCTCCCCATCTCGCTGCCAGTTGAGGCTCTTGAGTTGGCAGTTAGGGAACCCAGTCTAACCACTACTGTTATTAATCTAGTGAATAGCTCACTGAACACAATAAGCAAATCCTGCTGGAGTGCAAGCTCTGGAGCAACCTGTTCTTTTTAGAGATGCTCATTATCAAGGGAGGAGGAGCACCGGCCTACCCTTGCACTTAGCAGTGACCCATGTTTCTCTAAACCCCCCACCCAAAATCTCCTACCATCACTCAACCTTTAACCAGGGATCCAACAACGATCCAAGGCTTCTGGAAGACGCTATGCCAGCGGCAGTCATCGTCTTCTCTGCCATGCTGCCCTTCAACAATCCTTCAGTAAGGCTGATTTAGCTGGCACTTCTCAGTAAGTCGGAAAGTGGGGCTTGGACCGCAGGGCAAGGCTGGCCTGTCAAGTGCCTGAATGGAGCAAGATTTTGCGGGCCTTACCTAAAAGAGATGATGCGGAGCTCCCATCACCTCCCCAGCTGACAGCTGAGAACCCTGGTACCACCATAAGGTTCTGGAGTTGCCAGTCCAATTTTTAAAAACCATACTGCAATAGTCAATCACAGTGCAACACTTTATATTTATTCTCAAAATAATTAATCATTAAATATCAGTTACAGCTTCAACTGCTGAACTTTATTTTGTTTACAGGAGAGGTGTTTGATTATTTGGTTGCTCATGGGAGAATGAAAGAAAAGGAAGCTAGAGCGAAATTCAGACAGGTACGTACTCCTCCTACGTTTTGCTGATGACTCAGAAAATTAAAGACTAGAGGCAAAGATTGGTTTGAAGGGATTTAAGTGAATTCTGCTTAATGTGTAATCATGTACAAACAATATGATCAAAGAAACAGTAACTATGATACTTGTGTTTAACTTTGATGTAGATTTCATTATCTAGGTCATTGACTTAGTTTTGAGTACACCCAAAAGATGAATGGGGTCACATTTTGAAAACTACAGTGTTTGATCTAAAATTAGAACTACAAATTGCAGGCAAAATTTAAGTCCAGACCAGAAGTTGTTGGTGCATATTCTTTATTCTACTGCTTAATTTTAGCATGTTGTCAGAAAATAATTTTTTTGAAATTGATCCTATTCCAATTTTTACTTAATTCATTCATGGGCATCACTGGCTAGGCCAACATCTATTGCCCACCCTAATTGCCCTTGAAATTGTGACGATGAGCTGTCTTCTTGAATGGCTGTAATCCTTGGAGACACCCATAGAGCTGTTAGGAAGGGAGTTCTAGGATTTTATAATATCATAGAATTTTGCAGTACAGAAGGAGGCCATTTGGCCCACGTCTGTGCCAGTTCCATTTTGACCCAGCAACAGTGAAGGAACACTTCCATGACAAGATGGTATGTGGCTTGCTGGGGAACTTATAGGTGATGATGTTCCTTTGCATCTGATGCACTTGTGCTTCTAGGTGTTAGCAGTGAGGTATAGAAGGTGCTGTTGTAGGAGCTTTATGATTTACTACAGTGTACCCTGCCACTGTATGTCGGTCATGAAGTGAGTGAATTTTGAAGGTAGTGGATAGGGTGCTAATCATGCAGGCTGATTTGTCCTGGATGGAGTCAAGATGCTGTTGTTTATTTGGAACTATACTCTGGCAAGTGGAGAGTATTCCATCACACACTCTGACTTGTACCTTGTAGATTGTGAACAGATATTGGGAAGAGAGGAAACTAGTCACTCACTGCAGAATACCTAGCCTCAGACCTGCGGTTCTAGCCACATATTTGTATGGCTGTTTCATTCAGTTTCTAGTCAATGATAAGCCTCAAGATGTTGATGGTCGGGATTCACTGAATTAATGCCATTGAACGTCAAGGGGCAATGGTTAGATTACCCTCTTGGAAGTGGTCTTGCCTGGCATTTGAGTGACACAAATGTTACTTGCCACTTTCCTGCCCAAATTTGGATATTGTCCAGGCCTTGCTGAATTTGAATGGACTGCTTCAGTACCTGAGGTTGTACAAATGGTTCTGAACATTGCGCAATCATCAGCGAGCATCCCCAATTCTGACTGAGGGGAGGTCATTGTTGAAGTAGCTGAAGATGTTGGGCTTAGGACACTACCCTGAGGATAGTGTTATCCTAGGGCGGTAACAATTGACTTCTAATAACCATAACCATCTTCCTTTTGTGCCATGTAGGTCTCCAGACAGCAGAAAGATTTCTCCCTGATTTCTGTTGACTCCAATTTTGCTCAAGCTCTTTGATGCAATACTTGGTTAAGTACTTCTTTGGTGTCAAAAGCAGTAACTGTTGCCTCATTACTGAAATTTGGCTCTTTTGTTCATGTTTGAATTGGAGCTGTAACACAGTCAAGAGCCAAGTAGTCCTGGCGGAAACCAAATGGAGTATCAATGAGCAAGAGCTTGGAAGCCCAACAGCAACCCTTTACAGATGGATGATATTTGGTTGGGTTAGATTTGTCCTGTGTTTTGTGTTTTAGGATGTACCTGGGCAGTTTTCTACATGGGGTATTGTAGCTGTGCTTGAGCTGCATAGTCAGTCTAGAGTCTTTGATACTGATGCTGGAATGTTGTCAGGACGCATAGTCTTTGCAGTATCCAATACATACAGCTGTTTCTTTTTGCTATCATGGCATGAATTGAATTATTGGTTGAAAACTGGCATCTGTGATGCTGGGACCCCAGGTGAAGGCTGAGGCGATCATTGGCACTTCTGACTGAAGCTGGTTGCAAATACTTCAGCCTTGTTTCTGATGTTAATATGTTCAGCCCACCCATTGCTGATGATGTGGATATTTGTGGAGCTCCACCTTGTCTTTCTATGTTCATTCATGGAATTAGGGTGTCATTGGCGAGGCCAGCATTTATTGCCCAATCCTAATTGCTCAGAGGGCAGTTAAGAGTCAGTCACATTACTGTGGGTCTGGAGTTACATGCAGGCCAGACCAGGTAAGGATGGCAATTTCCTTCCTTAAAAGGTATTAGTGAACCAGATGATGGGTTTTTCTGGCTGACACCCTAATCCCATGAATGAACATAAAAGACAAGGTGGAGCTCCACATCATCAGCAATGGGTGGGCCCAACATATTAATGCCAGAAACAAGGCAGAAGTATTCCTGCTCCTCTGATGCTGCTTGGCCTGCTGTGTTCATCCAGCTCTACACCTTGTTATCTCAGATTCTCCAGCATCTGCAGTTCCTACTATCTCAGAAGTATTTGCAACCAGCTTCAGTCAGAAGTGCCAATGATCACCTTAGCGCTCACCTGGGGTCCCAGCATCACTGAAGCCAGTTTTCAACCAATAATTCAATTCATGGTTTTGTGGTCATTACTCTTAATTCCAGATATTTATTGAATTGAAATTCCACTATCTGCCATAGCAGGATTCAGACCCGTCCCCAGAAACGTTAGCTGTGTCTCTGGGTTAACAGACTAGTGATAATACCACTAGCCTGTTGCTTCCCCTAGAATTGAAGAATTTAGATTTGACCTGTTGATTGTGAAACTGTCTGTCTATTGCATCTCATTTTCACTGTTTGGCAAGTAAGTAGTTCTTTGTTGTAGCTTCAGCAGGTTAATGCCTAGTGCTGATCCTAGCATGTCCTCCTGCCTTCTTCATTGAAAAAGGGTTGTTCTCCTGGCTTAATGGTAATAGTAGAGTGGGGATATTCTGGGCCATGACGTTATAGATTCTAGTTGAATATAATTCTACTGCTAATGACCACAGTGCCTCATGGATGCTAATTTTGAGTTGCTAGATATATTGGACATGTGTGCCATGTTCACAGTAACAACATTTCCACTCGGCTTCGAGGCCTGTATGCTGTAAGACCTCTGAGGCCCCTGCAGCCCAGAAAAACAAATTAGAGGGAATATTACACAGTGGTAATGCCACACAGCCCTTTAGAGGCGGCCCTCTATTTGAAAGTGGGGCTTTGTTTCCAGGGGATGGTGGTCACTCCTACCAATGTTGTCGTGAATGGGTGCATCTGCTATAGGTAATTCAAATATAACCAGAAGAAATAAATTATTAGTTATAGATCATAACTTGTATCAGCTATTATTTGAGTCACATAGCATGTGACCTTTTAATTATATTTTCATAATAATTAATTATGAATGCAAAAGGTGGAAAAATTCCTAATTTGAACTCGTTGTAGAAATAAAGTCAGGATATCTAATATGTACTTCTTGACATGCTTTTATGCAAATCTTTGAGGACCCAGCCACTTTGATCCAAAGGCTAATGAAAATAAGATTGAAATCTTAAAAATAATTCTGAGATGAGGCAGCATTTGTTACGAGGACAGACAGTTCAACACTTCAGGTGCGAGCCCTAATGAGAACGTTCTCCTGAATAGCTCAGATAGGAAATATCAATTTGCTTGTGCCCTATAAAGATACTACCAAACCTGGTTGTTCTTTTCATTTTTTTGTTTCAGATTTTCAGCATCTACTGTTGTTTAGTTTACAGTTCACTTCTTGCTTGCGCACAAAGATTTCTTCTCAATTTCTTTAAAAGATGAGTAAATTTCTTTTGTCACTTGCTTTCCTTGTGACTTCACAGATATATCTGACTAAAGAATATGACTGTTCTGTTCTACCCTGTACTTTGACATAACTAGATCTCCGAAAAGAGTGCTGAAGTTGGAACATAAGGTACAAAGATCTGACCGTCTGATTGAGGAGCCAGAATAGGCTATTTGACTCTTCGGCTCACTCTGCCATTCAGTAAGATCATAACTGATCTGTTGTAGCCTCAACTCCACTTTTATTGTTCCATCCAATAACCTTTCAAAAATCGTTATGCAGTCGTCAGTTTAGCTTAGGTACAAAGCCATGGGACATGTTCAAAATTTAATGATCGCACGCTTAACATTTTAGAATGTTTAAGTTCTTTGAAAAAGAGAGAACAAGGAGTCGGTCTTCAAAATTGACATTGAAAAAAATTGAGTGCAGTTTTCTAAAATGTTGCAATGTGAAGGTGTAACCCAAATATATAACAAAAATCTTATAATATTACTCCATGATGTCAGTGTGGTATAGATTAGTTTTCATTTAGTTTTATTGCCAAAATATGACAATGTTACCATTAGAATAGCTTAATTTGAATGGAATCTCCTTGGATTTACATTTGAGGCTGTCCTCTTAACCTACATCTTTGACTGTTGATAGCATTTTTCCAAATACTTCCTTCTCTGGTTCAACATCCATTTTTGTCTGGTTTCATGTCTTGTGATATTTTTTCTGTGTGGTTAGCTCTATAAAATTATAAAAGATTGATGATGATGTCAATGTCAAATGCAGCAGAGAGGATAAGAATGAAACCACATTTGCAATTACACAGTAATGGCATTGCAGTAGTAATCCAGAGATGCAGGCAACCAGGTGATGAGTTTGAACCCCACAGTAGCAGATGGTGGAATTTGAGTTTAGTTAATAAATCTTAAGCTAGTATATCAGTCACAATGAAACCATTGTTGATTTTCAAATCTGTCTATATGTGACTCCCAAAACTGGGAGAGTAGTTCTACTGATGGATCAAGCAAAAGTCTAGCAGACTTATACTCAGAGAATTGTACCATATACACAATGTCCCATATACCACCATCACCACTGGAAGAACAGAAGAGCCAAGAGGGAGTTGCCAAGTACTCCATATTGACTCCAGTCTACTGACATCTCATGGCATTAGGTCAAATATGAATAAGGGAACCAACTATCTGTGACAAATGCTTCTGTCTGTGGCAGTACTGGTAGGATTGACCACTGCACAGTTCTTGGGATTCCCATCTTCATATTAAGGATATCTTCCATCATGTTATGTGGCACTGCCAAAATATTAAATGCGATGCATTTAAGACTGATCTAATAACTCAAAACTGGGCACCCTTGGGGCCATGACAGCAGCAGAATACTATTCAACCATAATTTGTAACTTAGTGACCTGGTATTTGCTCTGTTCTATAACATTACCATCAAGCCAGGAGATCAACCCAGATTCAAAGATATTTGCGGGAGGAATTATCTAAAAATGAGGTGTCAACCAGGTAAAGTTACATCTCAGGACTACATGCTTGCTGAACAGTGGAAGCAGCGTGAGAGCCAAATGATCCCAAACCAACAAATCAGATCTAAGCTCTGCAATCCTGCCACATTCAGTCATGAAAGTGGTGGAGAATCAAACAACTAACTGGAGGAAAAGTGCAACGAACCCATCACATCTATGATAGAGACAATACTGAAGAATTATGACTATCTTCAGCCAATAATGCCTGGTGGATGATCCATCTCAGCTGCTACCTGAGGCCCGTAGCATCACAGATGCCAATCATCAGCCATTTTATTTCATTGCAAGTGATATCAAGAAACAGCTGAAAGCACTGGATACTGCAAATGGGCAGTGTGGGCCCTGATAACATTCCAGCCATAGTACTCAAGATTTGTGCTCCAGAGCCAGCTGTACCCGTAGTCAAGCTGACAATGTAGAAAATTCCCCAGTCGTGTCCTGGCTACAAAAAAGCAGCACAAGTACAATCCAGCGAATGATCGCACTGTCAATCTATTCTTAATCATCAGCAAGGTGATTGAAGGGGTCTGCAATAATGCTATGAAATGACACTTGGAAAGGAATAAACTGCTCTCTAATGCTCAGTTTGGATTCAGCCAAAACCAGTCAGCTCCTGTCCTTATTACAGCCTCGGACAAAAGAGCTGAACACCAGCGCTTGACATCAAGGCAGCATTGGATTTAGTGTGGTATCAAGGAACCCTAGGGGGAAAAAAAACTGGAGTCGATAGGAATTGGCAGTGAGGGTTGGGGACAGAAGTTGAAGTCATAACCATCTTACATTATGCTAGGTATTTTTCTTGTAAGTTAGTTATCTCAACACCAGGACTTCTTTGGAAGAATTCCTTGGTGGTGTCTGTGCCCAACTAACTTCAGCTGCTTTATCAATGACCTTTCCTCCTTCATAAGGTCAGAAGCGGGATGTTTGCACAAGGTACAGCACCATCCATGACTCAAATACTGAAACAACCTGTGTCCAAATGGAGCAAGATCTGGACAGTATCCAGGCTTTACTAATGAGTACCATGCAACAGTTATCGCAAGCAATGGCCATCTCTAACAAGGGAGAATCTAACCATCATCCCTTGCCATTCATTAGTATTACCACTGCTGACTTTTCCCACTATCAACATCCTTTTGATTACACTGAGCAGAAACTGAACTGAAACTGCCATATACATACTGTGACTACAAGAGCAGGCAAAGGCTAAGAATTCTATGATGTATAGCTCACCTCCCTCCTTCACCTGTCAACAACCTAAAGGAGTGATGGAATACACTCCACTTACCTGGATGAATACCGCTCCAACTCAGGAAGTTCAGAATCCCGAAGAAACCAGACAACTTGGTTGGTGTGCCACCCACCAGTGTCTACATTCATGCCCTTCAGAGTGGATTCGCAGTAGTAGCAGTGTGTATCATCTGCAAGTTGCATTTCAGCAACTCATTAAAGCTCCTCCAAACAGTGACCTCTTCCACCAAGAAGTTCCCCTCCAAGCTGCACACCATCCTGCCTTGGAAGTATACTGTTTCTTAGCTGTCACTGTCAGAGTTCTAGAACTCCCTTCCTAATAGTACTGTGATATACCTACATCAAAGACCTCAGCAGTTCAAGAAGATGACTGACCACCACCTTCTCCAAGCCAGTTAGGAATGGGCAACAAGTGTTTCTTTAGCCAGTCATACCTGCATCCCATAAATAAAGATGCGACGGTGTTGTAATTCAAAAATTTGAGCAACAGTTGGAGTAATTCATTAATTCTTAAGATGAGTTATTCTGATGTGGAGGTGATTTTATGGTCAGCTGAAAGGATGAACAGTATTGGAGATTTGAGACAAGTCAAAATCAGCAAGCAGTGGACTGAGTAATTGGAGTTGGGAGGTCATAAATAGCATGAAAGAGAATTGAGAGAGCAGTAGAGTGAGATGAATTAATTGAGCAGATGACCGGTGAAGCCTGGAGATAATTGAGAAGAAAGCAGGAAGTCAAATTTGTAGTGAAGTCAAATTTGTGGGTTTATCAGCAGAGATTGTAGGAGCAGTGTAGATGGTTCTTATTTGGACACAGAAGTAAACCAGTTTATTTTACTTTAAGTCCAAAGAGAAGGTGGAGGAGAATGGTCTGAAGTGGAGGAAGAGAATTGGGATTATTTCGCTGGTTAAGTGTCAGTACTTCAATCTGTTTAAAATAATTCAATTTCCTTAGTTTTGAATGTAGTAACATAGCCCATATGAGTCTGCTTTTCCACACCATCTGTACACTGTTCTAATCAGTAATTTTTCCTAGTAATGTCACTAACACACTGTTGGTACACTGATGTGCTACAATACTTAGTAAAATTACCACGGCTCTGTGTATAGCACAATTTTGTGGTAACATCCAGATTTGCCTGTTGTACTTGACTTTATTTACCTATGTAATTACTTGAATTTTTATATCTGCCATATATAGTGTATAGAAATTGGTGCACTTAGATTATCCTTTGCATCATGTTTTCCTTGGTGGCTCTATTGTGACCTGTTACTAAGCTTGCTGAGAATATAAAAACCCATTTCAACATTTTTTATATAATCCTGTTCAGGTCTAAAGGTCACAAAATAGTCTATTGTATGGCTAAATTATGTGATTGACGCACTTTACCATAGGATAAGATTTGTCTTTTTTAGTCTTTTACCTTCTTTATCTGTTACCTTTTATTTCTTGACTTTGAAATTCTATTTACTTCTGGTTATTGTAATGGTTCTTTTCTTCCATTTCTGGTCCCTGAGGCTTCCGACCATTGCAATCTTTTATCTAAAGAATTTAATTCGAAACTTACAGAAATGGGAGTATCTATTACTGAGCAGGTGTTCCTTGCATGACTTGCCAAAAAGAAGTCAATTAGATGTGAAGGTACTGCGAGATCCTCATCCAGCAAAAGTGACACTTTTTAGTTTTTCCAATCTTGGCCAGAAACTAATTGGGCTAAACATTACACAGGGCTTGATTCAGAGCATGGGTCCTGAGCCTTCACTTACTGGCAGCAGGACTGGGTCAGTGATTCTACTATGGGTGGCCCTCTAATTTGCACACTGTCAAGTTCAGGGCTGCAGGAGTTTCCTAATGCTGCTGTCCCATTCAGAATACTGCAGGCAAAGAGATAAGTGCTGCTGGGGTATGGAGGTCACCCTGGGGATATATCAAAATGGAGGTTCCCTCCAACAGCTATGTAAAAATTAAAATTTAGTCATGAGCGATCGGCCACTCTGGCGGGAAAATCCCTCCTGTTAGCTCAATGGTGCCACATTGGTGTCCTCCTTTGCTCATGGCCTTCTCTTTTGAGCCATGGAGTCTCAATGATACTAGCAAACTGCCAGCCACCACGTGCAGTGGCCTGTAACATGCACTGTAACTATACAAATCAGCTGCCTATTTCCTTGGAGTCCAACAATCCACCTGTCAGCATGCTGATGGAAAACTTATTTGAAGTAACTCCATTTACTGGTTTTCCTGTCACCTGGGAGTCAGTAATATTCTGAGCATTTTGTTTGAAGTAGAAAAAACTATATGCTTATGTGGGGTGTGAAGCTTTCTATTAAATAAATTGAAAGGATCTTACAGGGTGATCACACTTGAGATCACTAACTTTTGGTGTTTTTATTTTAACAGATAGTATCTGCAGTGCAGTACTGTCATCAAAAGCAAATTGTACACCGAGATCTTAAGGTAAGTCATACCAGTGTTTAGTTCATATGCAGAGTGTTTCACCTGTTGCAGTGTGTTAGCTAGCAATCTATTCTTTTTCTTATTTTAATATGTAAAATTAAACTTTCAATAATTTAACTAATTCATATTTGAGGGCGACTTAGAATTATCACACACATTAACAAAAATTCAGGGAAAAGTTTATTAATTTTACTTGGCTTTTGTATCCTGCTATAAAGGTAGAAGCAATCTGAGTTCTGAATGAAAATAGTGAGAAATTTGCACCCGTCTGCAGAATTTCTATCCAGTACATCTTTCGCTCCAGAAGTATTGATTGCAGGACAGCAGAATCATGTCTTAAGGATTCTAAAGTATGCGACTGACATGTAACCAGTCCTACTTATCTGAGCAACTTTTCTGCTTGTCAGCTAGAACTGTAAGCCAAGTTTGGTTTGCAACATTTTCTGGAATTAAGTGGGAATACTCAGCCCTATAACAGATCTACACCTTCAATTTCCACTAGTTGTCCACAATAGCTGATCAATCATTAGCAGTATCCTTGAGTACTGCAAACCTGCCTGTTTTGAGTTTAAAATCGTGAAGTCTGCCACGAAGGGTTGATCCCTATTTGAGCTTCTTTGCCAGGTGTGAAATATTGGATGACCTTGAACCCACAATGATCCTCCTTGACACACAGGTTCTACCCAAAAACCAAACATTCTGTCACCATACCTTATTTTCAAGAATTCCACTGTACCTTCTCTGTTCAGAAAATATACATTCAGCTAACTCGATTAGCTATTACATCTCAAACTACCTGATGTTCAATTGAAAAGAGATTTGATTTTGTCTGCATTTGTGGTTTCCGCATTTTGTTCTGCTGCCATAAGTAATGTTGAGAATTAAAGGGGATGCAATATTAATTTAGCTTAATGCACAGAAACAGCTTGGGCAGTTAGATGTTAGATGTTATTGTTTGACCAAGAGATTTGACAGGAGGTTCTTTTGAAGGTGCTTTATAGTCACAGAATGGGAAACTTTGTGTCAGGATGCAGACTTTCTGGCTTTTCCCATTTTCTTCAATCTTTATACCTGTGAAATTATTTTTAACTGAAATTACTCTTGTTCTTTGAAACGCTGTTCTCTATAAGTACATCGAGGAAATACATTATTTGCATGCAATTTCCTTTGATTTGCAGCATCTTCAACTTAACATTGAGATCAAAATGTAACATTTGAGTATAGGAGTTGGAAATTCGTGCTGAGCTTATACAGGACATTGGTGATGCCTCTTCTGGAATACTGTGTCCAGTTCTGGTCACCCAGTTATAGGAAGGATATTATTAAGCTAGAGAGGGTTCAGAAGAGATTTATCAGGATGTTGCCAGTGGTGGTACTAGTTTAGTTTGGGGTCATGTTTGGCATAGACTGGCTGGGTCTATGATCGAAGGGTCTGTTTCCATGCTGTTTGACTCTATAACTCTTTTTTCAATTAACTTTTAGATAGTAAGAAATAAGGCTTTTCTTTGTTGAATGTCTGTTAAAGTGGTTTAATGTATTGGATATGATGGAGATATTGCAAATTAAATGTTTCTATGCATATTTTTAATTTATAGTTTCTTCATTTGCATTGTTTTTTAAACCTAGGCTGAAAATCTACTGCTAGATGCAGACATGAATATTAAAATCGCAGATTTTGGCTTCAGCAATGAGTTTACAGTTGGCAGTAAACTGGACACGTTCTGTGGAAGTCCACCATATGCTGCTCCAGAACTCTTCCAAGGGAAGAAATATGATGGGCCTGAAGTAGATGTTTGGAGTTTAGGTGTTATACTTTACACATTAGTCAGCGGTTCATTACCATTTGATGGACAGAACTTGAAGGTAACTCTCGAGTTTCCTTTGCTTAAAAGCTCTAATTTTATTAAATAAATGACCACATGGTGCTTTTCTTGTGCTGTGGTGCCCTGGCCAGCACTTATTCCTCAACCAGCATCATGGAAACAGATTATACAATTATTATCTCACTTCTGGTGTGAAATTATAATACTAACTACACTTGTAAAAAATATTCCAAAGGCTGCCTGACTTTACTGAAATTGTCAAAGTTGTAGATTCTTTTGTCAACCATGCAAAGGATAATTGTCTTGTGCAAAACTATATCTCAAAATTACTTGGGAGAGATGTGTATATAGTAGTCAGACGAATGGAGGCATCCTTGAATATCCCTTGATTACTTACTTAACTAAATAGTAAATGACATTTTACAGATGTTTAGATTGTCATTAATATGCCTTTGTTTAGTGCCTTCATCTTTAACATCTTTCATATAGAGAGGGATTTTTCTCTTCGGTCAAAGTGATATATAGGTAAATGGCTGATGCAGAAATGCAGTCAGTAACTAGCTTTGCCATCTTGTGGATCAGATTTTGCCTGTAGTATGATAGAAAAGTTAACAGCATTCACTACCATCAGTCCTGAGACTAACTGAAATGTCAAAATTTATCATTACAGTAAAGTTTCCACAACTTTCTGGCATATTTTCTAAACATTTAGTTTTGATTTTGATTTCATCTTAATCTCATGTGCATGTCACTTATTTCATTTTATGTAAGGTTTAACTTAAGGTGAAGAATTATCAATGTTTTATTATAAAGAAAAGAATTGAAGATTCTAATATAAGTATTTAATAGACATGGCAGCATCTGTGGAGAAGGAGATAAAATTTCAGAGTGGTAACTTTTTCCAGTGGTACCAATGTAATAGGTTGGAAGTAAGTATATAGATAGGGAAAGGAGAAAGGGAGCAAAGAATAAAAGAGGAGGTTTGAGATAGGGTGGAAGGCAAGTGGCAAAAAAGATAACGGTTGAAACAAAAGAGAAAGAGAAATGTCAGATGCAGGTGTAAATGAGAAAAGCTGAACTGTTACCACTACTTTCCTGTCCAAAAATAAATGAACACACACAAATTTGGAGGCAGATCTGGAAATCTCTGTTGACTCCATAAAGCTATAAAGCTAATCCAGAAATGAGTTGCTGTTCGTCAAGCATCAGTTGAGCTGATTTGTGACAGTGTAGGAAAGTGATAAACCTATGTAAGTGAATTTTGTAAGATAGCAGATCAAGCACAGGAGGCCCCAACCATCTTCAGCTGATCTATCAATGGCCTTCCCTCCATGAGATCAGAAATGGGCATGTTTGCTGATTTGCACAATGTTTAGCATCTTGCATGATATCTCAGGTACCAAAGCAATCTATTTTTATATGCAATAAGACTTGCACAATATTCATCTTTGGGCTGATAAGTGATGAGTAACATTTGCATCAGACAAGTCCCAGGCAATGATCATTTACAATAAGAGTACCTAACCATCTCCCTTGATGTTCAGTACTATTGCCATCACTGAAACCTCCAAGTTCAATATCCTGAGGATTCCCATTGGCCAGAAACCGAACTGGACCAACCTGTTAAATACTATGGCTAGAAAAAGGGAAATCCTGTAATAGAGATTGCTAGATCTTTGGTGACTTCCAAGAAAGATGCCCACAATGAGCATGGTCGCCACCACTGAAAGAAAAAATTGTCCTTTGGATTAACTGTAGTATTTAATAATTTGAACATGGGAAATGGCATAGTTTCTGAGAGTTGTGCTTCATTCTCTTTTAAATGATTTACCAGAGTTTGATGTTGCTGCAGCTTAATGACACAGTGGATAATTAATATATATGCTTATTTAACTTTGAATTTTTTGAGTACTGTTGGAGATCCCTAATGAAGTATTGGATAAATATGCAACTTAATATTTTACTGAGTGTACTGACTAGAAAAATGCGGCATTTGTTCCCTAGTCAGTAAAGGAACCTTGGTGTCTTTTAGCGTGAGAATTGGAAAAATTACAACCCGAAGCAATAAGTTCCCAAAATTATATTTCAGAAGCATTTTGAGCTTTTTCTAAATTCAGGAAGTGGTTACAATGTCCAGTAAGGCATTAATTATTTTGAACTTTGTGTTAAAGGAACTAAGGGAAAGAGTGCTCAGAGGGAAATACCGGATTCCATTTTACATGTCTACAGACTGTGAAAACCTCCTTAAACGCTTTCTGGTGCTTAATCCTTCTAAAAGAGGTACACTGGAGGTAAGAAGCCCAGATTATTTTACTGTTGTTCTTTTGTCATACCATTATTTATTCATGTATTTATGAAAACTGATGTCACCATTATAAGATGAAATATTGATAGAATTTTTAAAGATCTGTGAACTGGTCAGTCTTTTCTCAAATGGTTGTTTCAAAAATATTTAAATTAAGTGCAGCCACAGGCACCATTACAAAGATCTAGAGTTCTTAAAGGGGCCCTGTAACTTTTAACACTCAAATGGACCTCCACAGCAGCCATTACTGGCTCAAAGTTCACGACATGAGAATCTCATCTGCACCCCCACTGGGGATGCTGATTCTACACTTATGATAATCTTGGTTGCAGGGTAACCGCCATGTATATTTAAGAAAGTACATACTCACTTTTCTGTTGGCATACTTAAAATTAGCAGAGGTACGTAAACGAAAGTGTAAAAGTGGAATGTAAGATGGAAGTATTCCGATAGATGGAAGTGATTACAGGGAGGGTGAGCAGCAGCAAAGGAAGAAAATACGCATTTAATGCATTTGGTCAACAGGACTACAGCACTGCAAAAGTAACCTCGTGACTGAACTTCCCTATAAGTGTCTGAATAAATAAATAAAACTTCAGTATTTAACTTTAAAAAAACTCCATACTTTGAACATTCACACCCTTCACCACTGATGGACAATGTCAGCAGTGTGTGCCACCTACAAGATACGCTGCAGAAATTGTCCAAGTCTCCTTATACAGTGCCTTCCAAACCCACAACTCTGCCAGCTGGAATGACAGAGGCAACAGATGTGTGGGAATACTGCCGCCTGTAAGTTCCTCTCCAAGCCTCATGCCAACCTGAATTGAAACTTTATTGCCATTGCATCTCTATCACTGGGACAAGATCATGAAATTCCCTCCCCAACAGCACTATGGGTGTGCCAACACACCAAGGACTGCAGTAGTTTGGATGGCAGCTCCATACCAAGGACACTTACGTAGGGGCATTAAATGCTGGCCAAGCCAGTGACACCCAAGTCAGATGAATATGAATTTAAGCTAACTTTTAAATTCACTGACTTTGTGCAGGGGGACATCAATGTTAAGATTGCTAGATTTTTGTGGGCAGTTTGTTTTGAAGTTACAGGTGACTGCTGTTGTTAGACCATGAACTGTAAAATCCTGACCTTTTACTTTGATTCAAGCCCATAATAATTTAGAAGGTTTATCTAGTGAGCAACTGAATCCAATGGATCAAGGATGCCTGAGGTTTGAATCTGTTTGTGGCCTCTAATTGATCTGCACTTGAGCAATAGTATAGAGTTACTAGAGGCTTCAATTTTTAGGACTGAGACATGCTAATTCTCATTATCTTGGCTTAAGTAAGAAGAATAACCCCTTTGACCTTGAGACATAAGAGCTGAGGTCGGTCATTCAACCTGTTGAGTCTGCTCCGCCATTAAATGAGATCATGGCTGATCCTCAAACCTGCTTTCCTGCCTTTTTCCCCATAATCCCCGATTCCTTAAAAATCTGACCATCTCAGCCTTGAATGTACTTAATGACCTAGCTTCCACAGCCCTCTATGATAAAGAATTCCACAGATTTGCTACCCTTTGAGAGAAGAAATTCTTCACTTCTATTTTCAATGTGCAACGTCTTCTTCTGAAATTTTGTCATCTGGTGTTGGACTGTTCCACAAGGTGAACAGTCTTTCTGTCTACCCTGTCAAGTGCTCTGAGAATCTTATATGTTTCAATAAGATCATCTCTAGTTCTTCTAGATTCCATTGAGTACAGGCCCAATCTACTCAAACTCTCCTCATAAGTAGTCTCTCCATACCTGGGATCAGTCTAATGAACCTTCATTCAACTGCCTCCAAAGCCAGTATATCATTCCTTCGATATGCAATCCAAAGCTATTTGCATAATTCCAGCTAGGATCTGACTAGTGCTTCGTACAGTTTGTGCAAGACCTACATACTTTTATATTCCATCCCCTTTGAAACGAAGGCCAACAATCCATATGCCTTTTTCTATTACTCATTCAAATTTGATGCTAGCTTTTTTGTGATTCTGGCGAAGACACTCATCCCTCTGTTCTGCAGCTTTCTGTGGTGTTTCCCCATTTAAATAATGCTCAGCTGTTCTATTCTTCCTGCCTAAATGCATAAAGTCCTATTTCCCATGTTATCTGTGAACTGACTTGACCTCTCCATATCCTTTTACACACTTTGCGTCCTCCTCAGTACTTGCCTTCCCACCTATTTTTGTATCATGTGCAAACTTGGTTATAGTAGATTCATTTTTCTCATCCAATTATTACTGTGTATTGTATATTACGGCTGCCCCAGCATTGATCCCTGTGGCATGCCATGAGTTACAGATTGCCAGCCTTAAAATGCCCCCTTAGTGGAATTGAGTTTAAGAGCTGCGAGGTTATGCTGCATCTGTATAAAACCCTGGTTAGACCACACTTGGAATATTGTGTTTAGTTCTGGTTTCCTCATAGGAAGGACGTGGAAGCTTTAGAGAGGGTGCAGAGGAGATTTACCAGCATGCTGCCTGGACTGGAGGGCAGGTCTTATGAGGAAAGGTTGAGGGAGCTAGGGCTTTTCTCGTTGGAGCGAAGAAGGATGAGAGGTGACTTGATAAAGGTGTACAAGATGATGAGAGGCATAGATAGTGGATACCCAGAGACTTACCCAGGGCGGAAATGACTATTATGAGGGGACATAATTTTAAGGTGATTGGAGGAAGGTATAGGGGAGATGTCAGAGGTAGATTCTTTACACAGAGTGTTGGGTGTGTGTAATGTGCTGCCGGCAATGATAGTGGAGTCAGATGCATTAGGGACATTTAAGCGACTGTTGGATAGGCACGTGGATGGTAGTGAAATGTAGGGTATGCAGGGTAGTTTGATCTTGTAGTAGGATAATAGGTCGGCACAACATTGTGGGCCGAGGGGCCTGTACTGTTCTATATTCCAAGTCTTCTTTTTTATTCCAACTCTGACTTCTACTAGTTAGCTAATCCTCTATCCGTGCTAATGTACTACCACCAACACCATGGGCTCGTCATCTTAAGGAGTCTAATGTGTGATACCTTTATAAAATGCCTTCTGAAAATCTAAATATATTGCCTCCACTGGTTCCCCTTTATCTATCCCACTTGTTACCACCTCAAAGAATTCCAGTAAATTTTTCAGGTATGATTTCTGCTTCATGAAGCAATGCTGATTCTGCTTGATCTTACTATGCATTTCTTAACATTCTGCTATTACATCCTTTATAATAGACTCTATCATTTTCCTAACAATAAGCATCATGCTAATTGGCCTATGTTTCCTTTTTTTTTTTTTTTTTTTTTTTTTTTTTTTTTTGCCTCCTTCCCTTTTTAATAAAAGGTGTTACATTGGCAGTTTTCTATTCGTCTGCATCTTTTCCAGACCTGAGGGCTCCTAGAAGATTATTACCAGTGCATCCACTACCTCTGTAGCTATTTCCTTTTAACGTTCTGCAATGAAAAACTAGTATTTCTGCTCCTAATCATTGGGAGCAACTCCCTCAGTCTTTTTGCAAGAATGTATTGATGCTTGATAAGACTGATTGATTGATTCAGGGTTAGCGGTAATGCACTTCTCCTCAAGTAACCTACCAACAGACACTCCCAAATATCTGTTATTGATAGTCCTTTGGATCTTCTACTGGTGGTGATTAATGCCTAGTGAGCATTACCCAAGTAAGGAGTCAGCACTTGAAATTCTTCAGCAATACTTCTTTGTCTAACAAATTGAGCTGTTTTATTTTAAGTTTGAAAGATTGCTAATGGATTTCGTAACTACCTAGTGGGTGGGAATTTGTTGACAAAGCGCAAAGAGTTAAAAATACATCACTGACATCCTATTTATAAAAAGTGAAAGTTATAATCTTGCCAAAAATGCAATCTGATAGAGTTAATAATTAATGACTTTTGCTGATGAAACAAAGTTCTTCAATCTTACAGCATTTCTGATCAATCCTTTACACCTGAAGACTGAAGTTTGCTTTCTACTTAAAAAGACACTTAGTTGGCCTTGTCAAACAAGCTGGCTAACTAGAGTACTGCCTGAGAACACCATATGCTACGAAATTATACATTTTATTTTAGATCCTTCGACATTGAAAGGAAAAAAAGTGATATGTATTGATCTCTTAATCTTCTTTTGCAGTTTGATAACTTTGAAATTGCTCTCTTCTCCTTACCCATTTTTCTGCGATCTTCTTTACTTTTATTTATAAAGTGCAGAATTGATATTAAGCAACTTGTCCATTTTTTTTTTCTTTTGTGTGAAGTATCTAAGTTACACATTGTGCCTTTGCATCACCCAGTGTTGCTGCTTAAGAAGTTCTAGAGACAGGCTCTGCAACACTAAAGCAATTATGTGCAAACATCAGCTGATTATATTGCTACTTTATAATACAAACTCAAATTCAGGTTCAATAGTTATGTGGTCATCAAGCTTCCTCATCTGTCTGCAGTGAAGACAGACCCTTGGCTCAAAGGTGTCTTTCCATAAATCGCCATCCTGTGCCATTCTTTTCATTTGTTAATAACCACCTTCAATTCTCAAAGCAACCAACATTGATATTCTTTTCCTTCCTCTTATTTTTCCTTAATGTTCCTTCCATAACGACACTTAAGAAATCCATTTCCTCTTTTATGTGCCCTACACAGACTCTCTGGGCTGAATTTTTTTTTTTTTGCTCAGTGCCAGTTATGTTGAGATTTTGGGAGGGTTTTCTGCTGCAAGACCTAGCAGAATTTCTTGCCGTACCTTACCAAATTCTCCTTTATTAATCACATACTCTGTCTATATAGTGTTCCTCTCATCTGATTCTGTCCTATCCTACCACAAACCATTCTGGGACAATTTGCCACTGCAGGGATATCCCAGTGTTGACTGGCATCCCTGGTGCCTGTTGCATTATTAAAAGGCTGTTATGCACTCTGACAACCACATTCAGTCCAAAACTGTCCTCCATGGTTCCTGACAATTTCCCTGGATATGGCAGACAAGGAACCTTAAGCATCCTGCTTTTCAGGCAGGTCCTATGTGGGGTAGAGCAATGGAGGGCCATCTTCATCTCCCAGAACTAGAAGAGGAGGCCATGACACTAGCCCATGCTAGATGTATTGATGTTGTCACCTGGCGCAAATCAGCCTTGACTGTTTAGGAGGATGCAAAGCAAACTAGGAAGTGGATAAATATCCTTCTCCACTCTGCCAACATATGTGCCACATCTTCAATCTAGTGCCTCACACTCACCATAGCTGTACCTAACACCTAGCAAGGCATGTGCTGTATCCCTCTTGCTGTTTCCAGCAACATTTCCCCCTGCTGGATATCAGCTACCCCAACACCAATAACCCTGCATGCCCTTTGCACTACCTTCTCACTCGCTCAGAACACCCCAACTGCACCAACATAACAATTATGTCGCCCACTTTTGTCTCCCTTAATACCTACTTCTTTCTCATTGCAAGAGGAATACAGGACCCAGGGCAAAAAAAAAAGTAGGATTAGTGACGGGCGTGGTTCCTTTGAACTGTGCTGCTGTGTGCATGCAACTGTTCCAACATTCTGCGCACAGAAATTGGTGTGCCTGCATGGATTGCAGCATTGGCTTCTGGTTTGGGAAGTCGCTACCCGTGCACGGACCTCAGTTTTATGCAGAAGAAAGGCATTTAGGGAGAACGCTGGTGGCGGACTTTTCGTATTGAGGTTGTACAGGATGTTGGTGAGGCCTCTTCTGGAGTACTGTGTGCAGTTCTGGTTCCCCTGTTATAGGAAGGATATTATTAAACTGGAGAGGGTTCAGAAAAGATTTTCCAGGATGTTGCTGGGAATGGAGAGTTTGAGATATAAAAATAGACTGGAAAGGCTGGGGTTTTTTCACTGGAGCTTAGGAGGTTGAGGGGTCGCCTTATTGAGGTTTATAAAATCATGAGGGGCATCGATAAGTTGAATGACAAGTGTCTTTTCCGTGGTGGGGTGTGGGGGAATTTAAACCTAGGGAGCGCATATTTCAGTTGAGAGGAGAAAGATTTAAAAAGGACATGAGGTCAACCTTTTTACTCAGTGGTTCATATGTGAAATGAACTGCCAGAGGAAGTGATGGATGCAGGTACAGTTACAACATTTAAAAAACATTTGGATAAGTTCATGAGTAGGAAAGGTTCGGAGAGATATGGGCCAAGTGCAGGCAGGTGGGACTAGTTTAGTTTGGGAACATGGTAGGTGTGGACTAGTTGGACTGAATGGTCTGTTCCCATGCTGTATGACTCTGTGGCTCCATGACTGCTCAACATTTGTCATGACAAGTCTTAAATGGAGAACATCCTGACTCTGACCGTGCCAAGCAGCCTACTCTGTCCAATACTCTGGACCAGTATCAGAGGCTGCACTTGACTTACTGTGCTGGAAAACCCTGACAGAAGGCTGTCTCCACTGACTTGATAAGGACTCCGGACAACCTTGTCAAGCTCCCTAGCTTTGTGTCTGTTCTAAATGGAAGGCTATACAGCAGTGCTAAGAGGGCAAAGTGCAAATTGGAAAGGCAAGGTAATGGTAGACAAGAAAGGGACACTCTGAGCATCCAGGTAGGCTTAGAGCGAGTGTGCACTATGACAGTAAACAGGTTGGGCATGCAGCCTGGTCCAGTCTGTGAGCTGGATTCACATCCCTAAGCTCAGTGCAATGCTGCTGCCAGAACAATGGTAGTTGGTGAAGCTTTGAAGTTCAGAAGTGTACTGTAAGTGAATCGGAGATAATATGCTCATGGACGTGACACGTGTGGTGGTGTCTGTGGAGCATACTGTGAGGTTTGGTGCCCGATGTCCAACATGGAGATCTTTTGGAGCGTATGGCAAGCTGAAGTCGCTAGGTCCATGCTCTAACTTCCATGTCAAGAATTTTTGATACCTAGCTTTTAGCTTGTTCATTGGGTTTGGTATGATAGGCAGCAGAACATCATTGAGGTGAGTTCTGGCTGTCCCCCTGCCTAGAAAGAAACTGCAAGTTAAGGCAAAGTAAGTGAAAAGTAGTCAGTAAAAGAGAGGATGAAAATGTAGCTGTAATTTTGGAAACATGGTTACAAGCAGGACAGAAGCAGGCCAGCAACTACCCCACTCCACTTTCAAAAAAAATCTAGCAGGCAAGCCATTTTATTTTTCTGATTGGCAGCATTACCGTTGTTCTTGGTGGTGAAGTGAAGAGGTTCTTAATTGGTTTTAATTGACCACTTAAAGGCCTCAATTGGCCATTGGCCAGGAAGGTGAAGGTTAGGCTTTCCTTCCCAGAACTTTGTTTTGATGGTGTTGGGAAGGTGTCGGATATCTCCCTGGTGCTAATCTGACCAATTACCTTCTCTTTCCACCACCTTCCCTGCCACCTCTCTAAGAGGAGAAAATTCCACCTGTAGTCTGTTTCAAGAACTAAATAAAGAGGAAATAACATTTGATTTAAAGAAGTCTTCCAGAGCAACATAACCACTGTTAAAGTGGATAGTAGACAAACTAACCAAGCATAAGGAAGACAGACAAAAATGGAAATTGTTGGTGAAATTCAGCAGATCTAACAGCATGTGCAGAAGAAAGCAGAATTAACATTTCGAGTCCAGTTACTCCTCTTCAAACTGATGCTACAGATGCTGCCAGACCTGCTAATTTCACCAGCAATTTGTTTTTGTTTCAGTTCTTCAGCATTTGCAGTTTTTTGATTTATTTTAGTAAGGAAGGAAGACAGATCTGCAAATCCAGATGGATTCCTTCATGGATACTCAAAATAAATTAGGGAGGAAATATCAGAAGCATGGGAATCAAATCTTTTTTTTAAAAAAATCAATAAAGGCAAGAATAGTGCCAGTGCAGAGGAACAGCAAATGTAATTTCTGCTTTCAGAAAGGGAATAGGAACTGATCCAGAAAGCTGCAGAATAGTCACTTTAATGCATTGGTAGAAAGTTAATATAATTTTTCCTAAAAAGAAGTATTTATAACAGAAAATATTGTTAGTAACTTTATTGGATTTTGTAATGTAATAATGGACTAGACAAACATGCTACACGTATTTTAAAGGCAGTCAATAAGGTAATATAACATCTAGGGCATGTGGAGACAGCAAAGATGCAATCAGGGCATGTAGAGCCAAGGACAAGGTTGCACAATGAGCTTAAAGATGGCTGCAGGACAGAAAATGGTAAAAATCAAGAGTTTTGAATGGTAGAAACTGGGTAGCTGTGTCCACAGAAATCCATACATGACTACTTTTGTTAATAGACCATTGGTCCTACTAACTTCATACTTCACATGAGCTTTCTTTAACTCTAATGATCTTTTGCCACCCTTTTCCCTTTTCACTATAATGTTATATCCCTCATGTCTGCACCAAATCTCCTCCTAATTAAGCCAATGCTGTCTGCTTCAACACTCATTTTTGCAGCGGGTTCGAAATTCTCAAGCTCTGTGTAATTTCTCCTATTATATCTATTTTGTCCCGTGTTCTGAAATGATATTAAAGGCCTCTATCAGGTCCCTTCATCTTCAACCTTTCAAGGAAGAGGTTCAGTTGCTGAAAGTTTGCTTATAATTTACCATCACAATTCTGCTTGCTTCACTGGATTATTTCTTCAATTATTTCAATATCCTTTGTGTAGTATGTAAAAATATGTATTGTTTAACAAATTATTCACAAATATCTTTGTTTCTCTACTCATTTAATTTCATAACTTCAAATGGAATAAGTGATTGTACTTCTCCAAACCAAATGTATTATCTCATACTTGGCTCTATTAAACTTGCGTTGAAATTTATCCATCCATGTTGCAATCCTTATTATGCATGACGATAACAAAACACAATGCTGGAGAAATTCGGCAGGTCAGACAGCACCTGTGGACAGAGAAAGAGAGTGGACATTTTGGCATTGGTGTGACTCTTCTTCACTGCTGAAGATGTTACCTGACTTGAAGCATTAACTCTGTTTCCCTTTCCACAGATGCTGCCAGACCTATTGAGTTTCTTCAACAGTCTGTATGTTTGTTTCAGGTTTCAGCGTCTGCTATATTTTGCCCTGACACATTACTAGATTTTGATGCAGTTTTCCATATTATTCAGCCCTCAAATTAGTATCAGTGCACATGTCAGCATCATATTTGCAATGTCATGCTGCCTACATTTGGGATACACGATTAAAGGAATACGTGGACAAGGTGAGAAGAAACAAAGAACAGATTTAGATCAGGTGGTTTAATGAAAGTGGTCTGACTCTGCAGCAATTCTAGGTAAATATTGTGGTGTTTTCTTATGGAACAACTATGATCACCATTTTTGCAAATGTAGCAGGCTGAAGCATTGTCCAGAGCTGTTAGCGCAAGCCTTTTTTTTTTTTTTTTTGTTGAGAACATGTGTGGTGATTATGCAGACGAACAATTTGACAGAGATAATCCATAACTGACCTTCGCCAAGAGACAGTGCAATTTGTAAAACGTATTTCAGGGACCAGCAGCATGGAGAAAAGATTGGCATTCATAACCCTGATGGTGTCTGTTCAGTGACTCATTTAGAAGTTATACTCAGCATGAATTTCAAAGAACAAATGTCATTGGCATGATCAAGTAGCCAATTGAAACTCACTATGCTCACAGATGCAGAACCAATTTCTCTTCCAATGTATTGTTTCTAATGTACAGCTAGTGCGTATGGAAGCACAGCACAACATGATTCATTGCCTTCATATACATCGAGGAGAAATGACTGGAAAGCAACTATCAGTTGCAATATGTATTAAGATGAGCCGCTTAAACAATAGGTCACCTTTTGTTCCATGTTTCTTTGTACAAATACTTAATGACATTGAAAAAGATCTCAATTAAATTGAATTTATTTTGCGTTCTTTTGTTGCCAGCAAATCATGAAGGATCGGTGGATCAATGCAGGTCATGATGATGATGAGCTTAGACCTTTTGTAGAGCCAGATCTCGATATCTCAGATACTAAGAGAATAGGTAAGTGTGAAACAACTGATTTTGTTGAGTTTGTTAACTATCTTATTATGGCACTGAAGAAATGTTCAAAGTTAAAGCTACAGATTTCACTAAACTTAATTGTCAGCTATTAAATAGAGTTAAATGATTTCAGGATGATCCACAGTTAAATCGGAGGTGTTGAGGATAATGATCATGCAAACTTTGTCTGATGTTGCTGTTTATCTTGGCTTTCCATACACCTCAGTTAAGTTTGCACGCATGACACTGAGCTTTTGGACTTGCCATTTTAATTCACCAAAACCCATTCTGACCCCTCTGTCCTCAGCTCTTCCTCACTGTTCCAATGATACTCAACAAAGTTTGAGAACGAGCACTTTCCTCTTTTGGTTAGATAGTTTTGCAACATTCTGGACACTGTGTTTAATTTTAATAACTTCAAATTTATCCCAATTCTTTGGACAGCAAGTGCTGTCAGTGGCCCAGTTACTGCCATTTACAGTAGATCCAAGTTCTCTTCCTTTGGCTGTCCACTTGCTACTGCTTTTTGCCTTGCTTCTTCATCTCTTGTGTCATTTAAGTCAAACCTGTATTCCACCTTACTATACCCTTTCCCCTTTGTTCTTGCCTCCACCCCTCCTCACTTTTTTTTCCCTGGCACTGCACAGGGTAATAATTTGTTAAATCTATAACTTCTTCCAGTACTGATAAAAGATCATTCGCTGGAAAGCCGGTTTCTATTTTGACACATGCTGTATGATACTGAGTATTTCTATCATTTTCTGTTTTTATTTCAGATTGCCAGCATTCACAGTGTTTGTTTTTTTTATTTAACTGGATACTGCAGTTTGTTCTTGTCACAATCTTTGCATCATCTGATCAAAAATGACTTAAGCAAATTCTTTCTCTCTTTTTCCTTTTGAAGGCTTGAATTGAATCTTCCAGTACCACAGTGCATTCCAGATTCTAATTACTTGTTGAATAAAAAGTGTCACATGCCACACGTGTTTCTTTTGCCATGTGCCATTCACCTTAAATCTGTGACCTCTGGTTCTCAATCCTTCCACAAATGGGAAACTCTTTCTCCTTATCCAGACCCCTCCTAATTTGAACTCCTCTATCAAACCTCCCCTCAATGTCCTCTTCTGTAAGGAAAATAGTCCCGGGTTCTCCAGTGTATCCATGTGAGTGAATTTCCTAATTTCTAGGACCATTCTCATGAATATTTTCTGTAACCTCTCTAATGCTTTCATATCATTCCTAAAGTGTAGTGTCCAGTTGTGGGTACTAAAGTAAAATCACTGTTTTATTACAGTTTTAGCAATTTTTAATAGCTTTTGTACTCTATCCTCCTATACAACTCTATATCCTTTAGAATTGCACATTAATTTAGTATTGCCTTTCCTACTCCTTCCTACAAAAATTAATCATTTCACTTTTCTCTTCTTTAGATTTTTTTAATCTACCATTTGTCCACCCATCCAGCAGCCTATCTATGGCGTCACAATACTCACAGCTCTCAATGCTTTGAGGTTTTATCGTCAACGAATGCTGACATTGTGCCCTGTGCTCCATGTCTGTGTCATTACTTTATTATCCAAAAAAGGGAAGTTGTGCTGTATCTTCCTCCAATCTCAAAGAATAAGTATTCACCACTACGGTTTTCTGTTGCACAGCCAAGTTTGTATTCATGTTGCCTACAGACTGTGTGTTTTATTCCACGAATTCTAACTTTTCTGTCCTGATATGTGGCACTTTATCAATGCCTTTTGAAAGTCTATAGCCAAATTAACTGCATTAGTGTCATCACCCCTCAAAAGTCTCAAGTAAATTAGTTAAACACAATTTGTCCTTAACAAACACAAACAAAAACAGAAATTGCTGGAAAAGCTCAGCAGGTCTGGCAGCATCTGTGAAGAGAAATTAGAGTTAATGTTTTGGGTCCGGTGAGCCTTCCTCAGAACTGAAGAACTGAGGGAAGGGTCACCGGACCCGAAACATTAACTGTAATTTCTCTTCACAACTGCTGCCAAACCTGCTGAGCTTTTCCAGCAATTTCTGTTTTTATTTCTGATTTATAGCATCTGCAGTTATTTTTGGTTTTTATTTGTCACTAACAAATCCAGGCTGACTTTCCATAATCAACCCTCATTTGTCTGAGTGTTTGATATTTTTTCCCCAGACTTTCATTTCCTACCACGCTATAAAACTGACTAATCAGTAGTTGCTAGCCTTAGTCTTTACACTCTATTTTTGATCAAGGGTGTAACATTTGAAATTCACCAGTACTCCAGCACCACCCATATATCTAAGATGAATTGCAAAATTATCGTCACGGCTTCCACAATGTCCACCATTGTTTCTCAGTATCCTTGGAGCCAATAGCTCCTTTGTATTAATTTTTATTCAATGTAGTGTCTCGACTGCCTCTTACTAAAATTTGGGAAGCACTTTTTTCTCTATCTGAGCCATTTAGTCCAATGTTAACATTAAGCACTTCCTAAGTTAGGTGTGGCATTGTTTAGATATAAAGTAAGGCTTTTCTCCCTTGTCCCTCACACAACATATCTTCGACTCAACTTCAGGGAGAATTTTACTTATACAGGTCTGAATTTCCTACTTTTACTAACAATTAATCTTTTGATCATAATTATTGAAGTGGCTACTTTGCACCATATTGAGCAGCATTGTGAGTACCCTTACAACGTGCTGATACATTTTTAAGCTCTAATGTTTACTTTGTTTCAAACCATTATCCTAATGATAGATGGGCAACATACTAAAGCATAATAGCCATAGTTGGCTTTGAAGTAATGTTTTGGTCTTGTGTAAGCTAAAAATGGGTTTCGTAAGAGAAGGAAAGTGCAAACATTTTATGATTTGACCATTTACAGGATGGCTAGCAACCTTACAAATGGAACATGTAGTTTGAGGATAAGATTAAATTTGAAAGAATATAGTGGAAATAACATTCTTGATCAGAAAGCGGTTGGCACTACTAGTATTTGAAAAACTATCTGATCCTTGTTTTACAGATATAATGGTTGGAATGGGTTATACACTTGAGGAAATTCAGGAATCCCTTGCCAAAATGAAATACGATGAAATAACTGCAACGTATTTGTTGCTGGGTCGCAAGTCTAATGAGGTAAGGATAAAGAACGAAGAACAAGGTTTCATTTTTATGTAGGCTGTTTGCTTCAAATGCCTCTCAAACAACAGTGAGTTTCCAGATGAAATCTATTTTGTTAGCGGTTGTCATTAAGGGATAAATATTGTTTAGAATGCCAACCTGTTCCCATCTACTCCTCTTGAATAATATTTGGCACTTAGAATTCCCAGCTGAGACCTAACCTGTTCTAATATCTCATCAGAAAGACAGTCAATGCAACTCTTCATCAATACTACATTGCATTATCGGCCTGACCTATGTGCTCGAATCTCTGGAGTAGGGCTTGAGCCCCAACCTTCTGACTCAAATGCAAGAATGCTAACACTGAACCAACCCGACACCTTTACAATCCAGTGTGGCCAAAGTAATATCGATTGCCCTCCTTTTTCTATCTACTTTGCAGTGTAAATTTCTCCCATATTTCATGCTATCCAGAATTACAACTGTGCTGCATAGAAAGCAGACAGGTGAGCTAAATACTAAGATATAGTGTGTAGGATAGTCCCACTTGCCCAAACTAATTTCCATTCTACATCGAGAATACAACAGTTTTAGGTAACAATTGGTTTAGCAAAACTGAAATCAGAAACTGAGAAGAGTGAAAGGTTGAATTCAGCACCTTTTTTTATTTACGGCTCATTGTCTCCTTGCCACCTTTGCTATAGTGGTTCAAGAAGGTGACCCAAAAGACAATTTAAGAATAGGTAATAAATGCTGGCCTTGTCAGGATCAATTACACCTCAAACAAAATCTAGCAATTTTTTTAAAGAAAGATATGACCTGCCTGGTTTAAAATTTTTAAATAAAGCATGGTGGTTAACTGTTAATCAACATTAATGGATACTTTATAGGAATGCCTCAATCAGTGTCCACATGCCAACCAATCAGCACTCTGCTCTCATGCAGTCTAAATATTCGTTTTTCCTTTGAATTGGTGTTCTTGTGAAATATCGTGATGAGTGCAAGACAAAACAACTTCAAATTGATTTTTTTTTTTTTTTAAAGCAATATTCAAGGTCTATACTCCCAAAAGACACAATTATTAAATTAACTTTCTCGGAGTCGCAGTAGTTCAGTTGAGACTGTGGTATAAAATGCTAGTGTTGTTATGGTTGCATATTTTAAATCAGGTCTCCTTTTCCTATTACTGTTGTGGCTTTATCTGTTCCATTTCCATAACTATATTATCTTGCTAAGGCCACCTCATAGGTCCTTCCATTCCAAGCTGAAATGCCCAAACCCCTCCTCATAATTTCAACCCTTTGACAGTGGCCACATGGCTCTTGTATGTGCAAATTTGGAAATGGCCCTGGGTCTTGGTGATGAGAACTCATTAGGTTGCTCAGTGTATCAGTTTAATCATGACTGTATCTGTCTTGTATCCTTCTGTCTATCTAAATATTGTTGATGGCTGCTCCAATTCAATGTACACATTCATGAAGTAAGAGAGCTTATTTTTCTTCCTATGTTCAATACTCTTCATATGTGTCTATTTTCAATTTAATCTGCCAGTTTTTGTGGTATTTACATAATATGTATAAAACTTATTTTGTAATTTCTGAATTATCCTGAATTCACTGTTCATGTTAGCTTGATATCATCAGTAAATTTGACCTGTTTACATTAGATTCCCAAATTCAGGACATTTAATGTAAATTTAAATTATTGGTGATAGCATAGAGTCCTAGGCCAGTACTTCAATCCTTGTCAATTCTGACTTGACCTGTCTAACAAGCACTAGTTACTTCTACTTGTCAGCCAATTTTTAAACTTGTAAACAGTGTTTACGCTGATCCTGTACAACAACTAATTGTCTTTCATGTGGAACTTTTTTCCCATTCATTCATGGGATTTGGGCATCACTGACTGGTCCAGCATTTATTGTCCTTAATTGCCTGTGGGAATGTGGTGGTGAGCTGCTGTCTTGAACTGCTGCAGTCTGTGTGATGTAAATACACCATAGAGCTGTTAATACCAGGTGATCCAACTAATGTAATTCCTTTTGAGACTTTGAAGCAATTAGATACACTGGCTTGCTAGGCCATTTTAGAGGGTATTTGAGAGTCAATTACATTGCTGTGGATCTGGAGTCATATGTAGGCCACACCAGGTGAGAATGGCAAATTTTCTCCCCCTAAAAGACATTAGTGAATCTTGTGCATTTTTATGATGAACAAGAATAATTTCATGGTCCCCATTAGACTAGCTTTTAATTCTAGGTTTATCAGTTGAATTCATATTGCACCAAAGGGCGGCACAGTGGCTCAGTGGTTAGCACTGCTGCCTCACAAAGCCAGGGACCTGGTTTCGATTTCAGCCTTGGGTGACTGTCTGTCTGTCTGTCTGTCTGTCTGTCTGGAGTTTGCATATTCTCCCCATGCATGGGTTTCTTCTGGTGTTCCGGTTTCCTCCCATAATCCAAAGATATGTAGATTAGATGGATTGGCCATGGGAAATGCAGAGTTACATGGATAGGTAGAGGGGTGGGTCTGGGTATATGATACTCTTCAGAGGGTTGCTATTGACCCGATGGGCCAAATGGCCTGCTTCCACATTGTAGTGATTCTATGATTCTATAGTGGAATTTGAACCCATCCCCACACAGCATTAGCCTGAGTTATTGGATTACTAGTCCAGTGACAATACCACCATGCTACCACCTCCCTTGACAGATGCCTTTAGGTATTTTTCTGTAGTGCAAACTTCTCCAAAGTATTGTCTGTAATCAGTTAGCTCCAGATAATCTGGATAGAATGGCTGGAATTGAAATATTCCATTTCTGCTGCTAGTTCAAAATAAATTCGGAAATAACCACTTAATGTAAATGCTTAATTTCATGATAGTGCCTATATCTGGTAAAGCTTTCATGCTTCAGCTTTTATACCAACTCTAACCAGAAGCTTTTTATAGTACATTTCTTCTGGCTTAGACGCATGTATGTGCAAATATTGTGGATATGGAATTCAGTTACTTTGCCATATTTGAATCACTGGTGTAAGAAGGGTTTTGAAAATCTAGTGATCTTAACACCAGAATGAATTAAAAGACCTCAGTTTGTCCAGTGAAGTTGCTGTTGTGAACATTGCTGCAGTTTTTTTCTCTTTTTTTTTCTAAAGTAAAGGGAAATTTGGAGATTTGCTATAAGGATAAGATTTGATTTGGAAGCCCTCATTAATGAAGTTTCATGTTGAAAAGATATTCCTCAGACCTCAATCATTTCATGTTAAAATAGGCATGCAGATAGTTTCTAACTTCATAAGTAGGGCTCAATAAACCCTCTATCCATATCAAATATCACATTAATACGTTTGTAGGTTGCGGATGGGAATATGAATGAAATGCACCAAACTGGAACTTGGTTTTGTTATAATGATACTTTTGAAGGAACTTTTGTTTGCTTCTCAACTAAATTTGCTTCATTACCCTCTCAGTTGGAAGTCAGTGATTCAAGCTCCAGCAGTAACCTTTCCTTAGCTAAGATCAGGCCAAGCAGTGACCTCAATAATAGTACCGGACAATCTCCTTCCCACCATAAGGTCCAAAGAAGTATATCAGCCAATCAAAAGCAACGACGGTACAGTGATCATGGTAAGTGTTCAGAGTCATTTTGCTATGGTAGCTTGATTGTTCTGTATGTTAAACTAAATATTATGTGTTTTATTCTTGCCTTACTGTATCAACAGAAAACATATAGTACCTATGTGGACTAGTGTTTTAATAAGATTAACAATTGCACTATCGTAAGAGCTAATGGTGAAGGTACTCATTTCATTGCCAAAAATCCACAGACCAGTGTATTACCAAAACCTGGTAACTAATACATATCTGACATCACATACCTGGTTAAATTATTCTAATAAATTTCCGAGTAACACTAATTACAAATTGTGAAAGACTTAATCAGAATTTTTGGTTTTGAAGCTGGACCCTCCATTCCACCTGTGGTATCCTATCCAAAGAGAAGTCAAACTAGTACTGCAGATAGTGACTTAAAGGAGGAAGTTCAGTCAAGGAAATCTAGCACCACTGCTGTAGGAGGAAGAGGAATTACTCCTCCTAGTCCGAAGTTGGGAAGTGCTAACAACCCGAACAAAGCAGAGATTCCTGATCGCAAGAAGAGTTCTGTTGTAAGTAGTGTAAGTATACTGATGCCAGTTATACTGTTAAATTATATTTATCACTAGTTCTAAAGTAATATGTAAAGAAGAGAAAATTAAAGAACCTCTTTGAAAAACAAATTTCAAACCTCAGGATGTCTTGAATGTTCCACAACCAATTACAGATATCTGTGGAATGCAATCACTGAGACAATGAGATAACTAATCAGATACAGTAATCTGTTTTGGAGATATTACTTGAGAAATAAATTTTGATTAGAACAATGGAAATAATCCTATTCTCTTTCAAATTGTGCTATGGCATATTTATGTTCAATAAGAGGGAAAAATACATGATGGTTTACTCATGTCTTTATACTTCCTTTTGAACCCACAGTCTTCTGACTGTCAGGCAACAGTGCAATAACTGAGTCTAAGCTGAAAATAGTATTGCAGATTGTGTGATTACAAACATTTTTAATAAACATCCTGTGGCAATAGAGCATTGGGCAGTGAATGCAGGGGATCACAGATCAGAATTCCAAATAATGACCAGTACTTTTAAATAAACTTTGCCAGTTTATCGGCCAGATTGCTAGATCGATTGTTTGGTGGAAAGCCTCAGAATCTGCTGGGAGAATTCCACCTCATTTTTGTTCATTATTGAATGTAGCTGGTTGCAACTGTAGAGGTCAGCATTTCAAAGCACAAGCAATCCTAGCAGGAAAAGCACTAAAAGAAGAATTGAATTATTAAATCAACAGAGAAGCATTTTGAAAATAAATCAATGCTTATTTGTCTATTCAGAATAACACCGTGTCTGGAGGAATGACCCGAAGGAATACGTACGTCTGCAGTGAAAGAACAAACGTAGATAGGCATTCAGTGTTACAGAATGGAAAGGAAAACAGGTAATTAGTCAAAGATGTTTGGTAATGCAGAATTGATTTTATTTTGGAAGTATTTATCTGTACCAATAATATCCAAATGCAAACATATTGCAATGAAGGATTTTGTAAAAAAAAAAACCTCTTCAAATAGATCTTTAAATGTGCTGGAATAGCATTGTTGCCTAAAAATTGCAATGGGCATAGTACTGAAATAACAATAGAGTACTTTACTGCTTTGCAGTTTTTAAACTGCTGTTTTCTTCTGCCTTTTCTGTTGTTTAATTTAAAAAGTAAAAACACAGCTAGCTTCTTTAACAGCATGGTGTTTTCTTTCTTTTAATTTGCACTTGTTCAACATTGTGCTCCATGTTGTACTTCTGTCTGCTTCTGCCTCTATCTCAACCACACTTCATCACAGCCTGACAGAAATGTCTGCTTGTGCGACTAGTTCTGCGTCTGCATATGTATCTCCTCCTGCATCTACATCCGCTTCTACTACATCTTCCACTTCTGCCCGATTGCGACATCAGAAGTCAATGTCCATGTCAGGCTCAGGGTATGCTACCAAGATGATGCCTGCAATAGACAATGAAGCAGATTACTTCCGGCCTAAGTAAGCAAAGGAGGATAATTCTTTAAATCTATGTGCTGATATTTTCTTATTTGTCCTGTTTTTTTGTTTAACTTCGCTATGTATGTTTTGGAATCTAAACAATTGCACGGATTTAGTTGCAACCTGGTTCAGCGCCTATATTTACTCAGTGTTGAAACACCTATGTAACATTTGTTTGCAGTTATGTTAAATTGTAATTTGTTTCAAGCTTCAGTGAATAATTTGATCTAATTCATCAACTTAAGAAGCAGACAGAAAATCTGAATTAACTTTGTTATTAAAGTTGCAAAGGAGAAATTTTAAATTTTTTTTATCCATTTACAGGATGTGGGCTTTGCAGGCTATACTAGCATTTATTGCCCATCACTAGTTACCGTTAAGGTGATTACTATTCATTAGGACTACAGTTTTAAATAACAAATGGATAATGCTCAAGATGGTGATTGGGGCCCAATAGCCTCTTGCTGCACCATAAAAAATCTGAGTGACTTTTGTTCTCTTAGCTCTTAATCTAAGGGAACTAAGGGAATATTTTCAGCTATGAATAGGTCACAAAAAATATAATGTTATGCACAATTCTGGCCATCCAAAATGAATTTGGATGGTTGTAGAATAGTTTCCAGTCCAATACGTTTCTCACATTTCTACTGTAGTAAAATTCAGTAAATAGAGCTTTCAGTGATTCATAGTTTGTGCTTATTTACTAAGGACATATATCTTTATGCAATTGTGAATTTGCCTTTCCAGTTTGATATTCACACAGTACTGTTTGTGTAACAATAACGGTAAAAATAATTTTGCTGATACTGTTCCGCTTGCACTCATCAGGATGATTCACAAGAAATACCAAAGGGGAAAACATTGTTTATACTGTAGGAGAGGAGAGTGCTGATAGGTTAGTAAGTGGACACTGATTAGTAGAAGTACTGCTGTTGAGAATGCACCAGTGGATGACTCAAAGTTAACTGTCAAACTTTTAAGTTTTCAAACATGCTGGTTGACCTGATTGGCCAAAGCATAACGTTAAGAAACAAACCAGAGAATAATTAGTCGAAACAGATGCAGTGTGTGTACCTGTTCTTTCTGTCAGTCATAGAGTCATACAGCACAGAAACAGACCCTTTGGTCTAACCAGTCTATCCTGACCATAATCCCAAACTAAACTAGTCCCATCTGCCTGCACTTGGTCCATATCCCTCCAAGCGTTTCTTATTCATATACTTACCTAAATGTCTTTTAAACATTGTATTTGTACCCACATCCACCACTTCCTCTGGAAGTTCATTCCACACACGAAACACACTCTGTAAAAACAGAAAAAAATGCCTCTCATGACTTCTTTAAATCTTTCTCCTCTCACCTTAAAATTGTGCCCCCAGTCTTGAAATCCCCCACCTTAGGGAAAAGACACCTGCCATTCACCTTATCTATACCCCTCATTATTTTATAAACCTCTACAAGATCACCTTTTGACTTTTTATGTTCCATTGAAAAAAGTCTCAGCCTATCCAACCTCCTCTTATAACTTAAACTTTCCATTCCTGGCAACATCCTGGTAAATCTCCTCTGAGCCCTCTCTCTAGTTTAATAATATCCTTTAATAATAACAGAGAAACCAGAACTGAACACTGTCTACAACGAATGGCGTCCCATGTGTTTTCGTATATATTTTCGAGTACATACAAGTGCACCATTCTGTGAACCTGAGGGTGACAATCCTGAATTAGTTGTCAACATAATCCTTTTCACACTGAGGAATTTTTAGCTTGCTTTCAAGTAAGGCTGTCTGGTCATGCTGAGCAATAGAACCAGTGGGTTCAAATTTTTACCCACTCATTGCTGGACTTCCGAAAGAGCAATGTGCTGCTGGATGAGGTGTTAAATGCAATAAGGTTCGTCCTCTTGGCTTATTCAATGTATGGGCTGCCCAAGTTGCATAAGGGTAATGTACCTTTATGCCCTGTATTATTTATGACCAGTTTTGCACAGGATGAACTGGCCAATGGTTAGACGATTTGCTACAACCAGTTTTGATCAAGTTTTCCATGTACACAGTGAATGATTCCTTCACATTTGCAAACATCATACTGGACTTGCATATTGATAGAAAAACAAGTGTCCATGTGCACATTTGACATAGTTAGCCTAGTCAACAATGTACACAAGGATGCCATATGTATTTGCACTGCAGCTGGATATGATGATATAGACCTGTCTCCATTGCGTGAATCAATAAATATTGAATTTATGAACTTAGCAACTTGCCCAGTTTCGTTCAGTTCTAGAAACACTACATCTGCCTCAATAGATAGTGTTGCCGTGGTATGTCTGGGAGACCCAGCTTTCTCAAATGTTTTTGTTGGATTCCATGACAAGTCTAAATTCGATGGAATGACGTCTAACCCCCAACCCCTTTCATATTTCCAATATGTAGGTGTTATGTTTGCTATATTTGAAACTGTAGCTACAAGTAAAAATTTCCTTGCGTCTTAATGGTTCCATCCTGCATTCAAACTTACACTTGAAATGGAGCAGACACATGTGCTTCCTTTTCTTGATGCCTTAGGTGAGAAATCAGCTATGGGGTTCTCTACTACTGCCTCCTGCAAGCGCCTCTTCACTGGTCAATATACACATTGGGCTTCCTACAATTCCAAGGCTGAAAGAGTGGCCCAAATAGCAACCTCATAAATAGGGCCTGAGCCATTTATTCAATCATGCGAGCTTGATACTGAAATAGAGTGCTTCAAAGTTATCCTGCTCAGATCATTCTCACTGCAAATCATGCAAACTCCTGACAAACCTAAGATAATTATTTTGGTTCCTGAGAAGTGTCCAGTTTTCCTCGGGTATCAAAAGTTTGAGCAATAGGTGGAGCTAGCTTTTCATGCTGCTGCTGAGTAGCAACATGAGTGCTTTTCACCCACAACAGGATGTTGCTAAAAAGTCATTCTGTCGTCTTCAAAGGAGCAGCACGGTGCCAGGGACCTGGGTTTGATTCCAGCCTTGGTCTCCTGTCTGTGTGGAGTTTGCACATTCTCCCTGTGTCTGCGTAGCTTTCTGCCAGGTGCTCCAATTTCCTCCCACAGTCCAAAGATGTGCAGGTTAGGTGAATTGGCCATGCTAAATTTCCCATAGTGTCCAGGAATGTGTAAGATAGATGGATTAGCCGTGGGAAGTGCAGGGTTACAGGGATAGGGTATGGGGTTGAGACTGGGTGTGATGCTCCTCGCATAGTCAGCATGGACTTGTTAGGCTGAATGACCTGTTTGCACTCTATAGGGATTCTATTTTATGAAAGGAGTAGAATGGAATATGAATTTTGATGCAGATGTGATGCAGGGTATTTAGGTCATACGTTAAAAAAAATTGGTGGTGAGTCATATCAAACACAACCCTTTAGGTGTTCATAAGAAATAAGCTACCTACTGTACCCAACCAGCCTGAGCTTGCAAAACTCAACGCAATGTCCAACATTAGATGTAATTCTGCAATTGGACAACATTTGCTTAAATAAAGCTAAGTGTGCGTAGAATTAGACAGACAACCAATTTAGGATTGTTAGTGGGGCATACAGTATTGCATAATTGTGTGCTTGGGGAGCCACATTTGCAGGTCCCTGTTCCTTTCGGGCAGAAAGGACATGTTTCATTTGTTTCAATTCAATAAAATAGGTCCCAGCCAATCTCTGGTTCATTTCTAATGTATGTTAATTGAAAATTTTATTTCACCAGAAAGAACTTCTGAGACCTGGTAGTATATTGAGAGTATTTTTAATGCCCAATGTGTTTGCAATAATATTGGAATTTAAGTAGTTACAAAAGACACTTTTACAGTAATAATTGTATTCTTCTAATGGCTTGAGCAATTAGTGTCAATCGTTCTGATTTAAAATTTAAACAAAGCTTGGCAGTTAAATGTCAGTGGTCATTAACTGATGTATTCTCCCTGGCAACACCTCTACCAATTGGAATCTGCTTACCAGCCAATCAGTACTCCTGTATCTTTATAGTATAAATGTCGCTTTCCCTTTACTTTGGTGTTTCTTGTACATTGTCCTGATGAATGCAAGACAAAATGCATCTTTTTTCTAACAGTACTCAAGCGCTGTACTACTAAATGGCTATTATTGTTTCAGTTGGTATTTTTATCTTGCACAAGCCAAATTTTCAACAACAGATAGTTTCCTTAAGTTTTTCTGATGTATGTTAGTTACTAATATTTCATTTCTCTAGAAAGAAATTTCAAGAACTGGTAGTGTAGTGTACGCGGGAGTATTTTTAATGTCCAAAATGTTTTGCTACTACTTAATTACTTACAATAACAGCTACTTTTTTAAAAATAACTATATGCATTCTTGTAGCACTGCTCCAGGTCAGAGGACACCTGTGACCTCCACCCATAGTATCAGCAGCACAACCACTCCTGACCGCCTGCGTTTCCCCAGAGGAACTGCCAGTCGTAGCACTTTCCATGGTGGCCAGCTTAGAGAACGACGAAACGCAACATATAATGGACCACCTGCATCTCCAACACTGTCTCACGATGCCACTCCTCTATCACAAACACGAAGCCGAGGCTCTACAAACCTCTTTAGTAAATTGACCTCAAAGCTCACGAGAAGGTGAGTATAATTATATGATTTTGAATAAAGTTGCAAGGTGCTAGCTTGCATAAAATATAAAGAGAGAAATTTGATAATGATAGAGCTTGTAAAAGTATTTAACAGGCATCCATTCCAGTGTTTTTATACTTGACAAATTCAGGTTGACCTTTTAATCGTTACTTGAGCTTGAATAGCAATGCAAAATTATTACTGGGGTCACTCAAACATTGTCCACAGGTGTATTCTGGTTGGTTGAATTTGCCCCTTTCCAGAATTATTTATTACACGACATTGCTAGCAATAAACCTAAAACTTGCAATTTAATGGTATTTTTTATATCCTCAGTATTTCCCATATTATCAATGAGTTGTGTTTCAAGTGTGGTCACCACTTTCATGTACTGAATGCTGCTGCCATTTTGCACAAAGGCATATTCCACATGCAACATTGAAAGTAACATAAGGATGTAGGAAATATGGCGGGAGTGAGCCATTTGGCCCCTCAAACCTGATCCACTAAGATGATGGTTGATCTAATGTGACTTTAATTACATTTCCTGCCTGTCCCCATGTGACTGCAGAATGTGGACAGTCCTGGATACCAATGTGATCCAGGTTAGTCATATCCGCAGTGTGTGTCTGCAACGCAAATAGCTTTGGCTCAGAGTTATGAACAGGAAGCTGAGTTGTTGACACTGTTGCATCAGAGAGGAAAGAAGTTACATGGATGCTTTGTTCTAAACGGCAATTACTCACCTTAGGATAGCATTTTCTTATTAGCCAGGAACAGGGAGTGTACACAACTGTGAGTGAGGCATGTATGAGAATCAATAGGCAGAAGTGGACAAGCCTCAGCCTTTGCAATTTTCTTAGGTTGCATGAACGTCAAGCTTGTTATGTGGATGAAAGCAAACTCTGCAAAGCGGCCAAACAAATTGACTAAGACACCACATTGCAGGATGCCATTCAAGCAGGACAGATTAATAGGAATGAAATGATAGGAGCAAGCAGTGTAGTCAAGGGGATTGAAATATTTCTGGAATCATAAAGATTGAGAGGTTTCCTGCCTGAACTATCCTCCCAGGCATTAGGATATATGCAGCTAAGAAGAAAAGTCCAAATGTCTGTGTTGCCAGACTGATGCCAGGGCTTGCGACACCTGTAGGCTGGAGGGGCAGAATCCAGTGATTGTGCTCAGTTAGATACAAAAGACATAAAACTCTGAGGAACTTCTGTTGAGTGAATACCAGCAGCTAGTTGCTAAATTAAAAAGCAGCATCTCAATGATAATATCTCTGGATCACTACTGCAGCCACAAGCAAATTGGTATAGGGTAAATAATATTAGAGGGTTAAATGTATGGCTCAAAGATTAGTATGGGAGAAATTAGAGAACAAGGACAAGCTAGCTAAAAAATATAAAAATAGATGTTAAGTGTTTCTGCATGTATTTAAAAGGCAAAGATTAAATAAAGTGAGCATAAAAGGAGTAGCTGCTGAGATAGTAGCTCCATTGGTTTTGTTTTCTAGACTTCCTGGATTCTGGAAAAGTCCCATTAAATTGGAAAGTAGTGAATGCGATTCGTAAATTCAAGAAAGGAGGAATACAGAAATCTGGAAACTACAGGCTGGTTAGCTTCATATTTCATAGAATCTCCATACTGTGGAACCAGGCCATTTGGCCCAAGAAGTCCACACAACCCTCCGAAGAGCATGCTACCCAGACTAATCTGCATACCCTATCCCTGTAACCCTACATTTCCTGTTGCAAATGCACCTAACCTATACAACCCTCAACACAATGGGGCAATCCACTAACTTGCCCATCTTTAGATTGTGGGAGGAAACCGGAGCACCTGGCGGAAACCACACAGTCGTCCAAGATTGGAATTGAACCCAGGTCTCTGGCACTGTGAGGCAGCAGCGCTAACCACTGAGCTACTGTGCTGTATAAGGAAACTGTTGATGTCCGTTATTAAAGAGGTTAGGGCATAACACTTAAATCTGAATGCGATCTGGCAGGGTCAACATGTAAAAGGGCAATCATGTTTGACTAATTTTGTGCAGTTCTGAGGCAGTAACAAGCAATGTAGACAAAGGGGAGTTTGTGAATGGGGTTAGATTTCCAGAAGGGATTTGACAAAGCACACATCAAATATTACTACACAAAATAAAAGTTCTTCGTGGGGGTAACACATTACCCCGGATAAATATTGGTTCAGTAACTGGAAATGGGGAGTAGGAAAAAGTGAATCGTTTTCAGGTTATCAAGGTGTGAAGAGTAGACTGCCACAGGGATCTGTGCTGGTACCTCAACTATTTACAGTTCCTTGCAATAATGAAAGGATCCCCTGGTCATTAAATTGGTAATGATTCAAAAGTATGTTGTGAAAAGGACATAAGGACTGTGAAGCAATATATTTAGATTAAATGACTGGGCAAAAAATTGGCAGATTTAGTAAAATGTCTACTTTGACAAGAATAATGAAAAATATATTATGTCAGTGTTGTGATATTGCAAAACTAGGGCATTCAGGGTGAACTGGGTGTCCTGGTGCATGGATCATAATTTTAACATGCAGGTATAGCAAGTGATAAGAAAGACAAATGACAAAGTTGTCGTTTTATTGTGAGGGGATGAAGTATAAAAATAGAGAGGTTTTACTACAGTTGTATCGGGCATCTGGAGTTCTGTATGCAGTTTTGATTTCCTTATTTGAAAAAATATATAAATGCATTCGAATGTGTTATAAGAACATTCGCTTGATTAATACTTGGTGTGGTCAGAAAGGCTGGATTTCTTCATTTGAGTTCAGAAGATTGAGAGACAATCTTGATGAAAGATACAAGATCCTCAAAAGACTTGACAGGGTGGATGCTGAAAGGATATTTTCCTTTTGCGGGAGACACTTTAACTTAGCAGTTTAAAAATAAAGGGAGTCCCATTTAAGACAATGGAGATGTTTTTCTCTGACAGTTGCGACTCTAGAACTCTCTTCCCTAAAGAGTGGTAGAAGCAAGGTCATTGAACATTTCTGAAGGTAGAGATAGATACTTAACCAAAAAGGGAGTGAAAAGTTATTGCGGGTAGGCTCAAAATAGAATCGGAGCCATGATCAGATCAGGCATGCCCGTATTGAATGGCTCAAGGGGTTGAATGGCATGCTTCTGCTCCTAGTTTGTATGTAATAAGAGCATAAAAAAAGGAACAGAATTAGGCTATTCAGCCTAACAAGCCTGTCCCATTTTTCATTAAGATCATGGCTGATCTGCCCCAGGCCTCAACATGTCATTTATGCCAGCTCATCATAACCCTCAACTAAGACGTTTCAGAAATCTATCAACCTCCTCTTTAAATACGTCTTTGATTTAGCCTCAACGACCCTCTGGTAGCAAATTCCAGGTATTCACAACCTTATGGATGAAGAAATTCTTTTGCACCGCAGTTTTAAATGAGTGTCCCCTTACTCTATAACAATCAACCCGAAGTTCAAGATTCACCCACTGGTGAAAACATCTTAATGTCTGTACTGTCAAGCCCCTTCAGAATCTTGTATGTTTCAATAAGATCACCCCTCGTTCTTCTAAAACCTAATAAATACAGATATTTAGCTGTTCTCCAGTTAGTCAACCACTTCACCCCAGGAATCAGCCTAGTGAATCTATTTTGAACTAATTTTAATCACATGTATTTCCAAAAGGTGTTCAATAAGGTACTGCGCGCAAGGCTACTTAATAAGACCCTGTTGTGCTAAGGGTGGCGTATTAAAATGGATAGAGGATTGACTGCTAATAGCAGACAGAGTTACATAAAACTGCATTTTAAGGCTGGCAGCGTGTAACTAGTAGAGTGCCACATGTATCTGTGCTGGGGCCACAATTATTTTCAACATATATTATTGACTTGAATGAGGGAAGTCATGTTATTGTCTCCAAGTTTGTGGATAGCTCAAAGATAGGTGGGAAGGCAAGTAGTCCCAGTGATATAAAGAGTCTGTAAGAGGGGTTTGGACAACTCGGTGAGTGGGCAAAAACTTGGCAGATGGAATATGACGTGGTAAAATGTAAGGGTATGCACTTAGGCAGGAAGAGCAGACAACCCCAACATTTACATGGTGTAAGACTGCAGAAAGCTGTTGTGCATACATGACAAAGAATCATGAATTATGCATATTCAGCAGGGAATAGGAAAGGTAAATGAACTGTTGGCCTTTATTTCCAAGGAAATGGAGTATAAAAATAGGAAAGTCTTGCTAAACTATATAATGCTCTAGTCAGACTACACTTAGAATACTGTGAACAGCTCTGATCCGTTATCTAAGGAAAGACATACTGAGCGTTGGAGACATAATGCGAGGCGACCTTACTGAAACAGCCCCTTACGGGACTTGACAGGGTAAATGCGGAAAGGTTGTTATCCCTTATGGGAGAATCTAGGACCAGAGGGCATAATCTCAGGATAAGAAGTTGCACATTGAAGACCGAGATGAGAGATATTTTGGCTCTGAGAGGGTGGGAATCTGTGGAATTCTTTACCACAGAGGGCTGTCATTAAATATATTCAAGGCTGACATGGATTTTTAATAAGTAAGGGAATCAAGGGTTATAGGGAATAGGCAGGAAAGTGGGGTTAAGGATCATCAGATCAACCATGATCTCATTGAATGATGGGACAAACTTGATAAACTGAATGGCCTACTCTGCTCTGACATCTTGTGATCCTAGGAAAGGCCATTGAGTTGATTCCAGTTATGGAGGGATTTTGTAGACATGCTCGCTGAGCCGGTGGGTTTTGTTGCAAATGTTTCGTCACCCTGCTACATAACATTGTCAGTGCATCTGAAGCATCGGTGTACTGTCCCACTTATTATTTGTATGCCTCGGTTTATTGCGGATGTTTGGTACCACTTCCAATTCTGTTTCTGTGGTTTGTACACCGGATCTAATTCAACGTGTTTGTTGATGGAGTTCTGGTTGGAATACCAGGCCCCCAGGAATTCCCCAGTGTGTCTCTGTTTGG